TTTTTCTACATCACTGCTAGTAAAGTGCTAGCAGCAATTCTTCTATTTCTCCTGTCAGCCAAGCTTTATTCAAGTTTGACCTTCTCTTTGTCAGACAAGCATCACTCATCTCTCATGATGTGCTAGCATTAACATTGTCTTTCAAGCGTTATACAGTATCTTCCTAGAACAAGCTCCAGCAATACAGCATCCTCTAGGCTTGCACAGCGTGATGTTCTGTTCTGCAGTGGCAATAATAGCTTGTGGGTACAGCATTTATTATTTTAGCATGGCTTAATTTGTGTCATTGTTTCGGGCAGACAATCTATTTCTCTAACGTGCTTCTTCTATCTGAACATGTTTTTTCCTCTATTATTTCCCTTCCTTAGCAGTACATGCTGATTAGAATTGCCCAGCTCAGCCTACAAACTACTTCTGAAGACGAGGACCTTACACATGCCATTTCCAGGGAACAGCTGTATTGTTATCTAATTCCAGCAAGTATTTTGTCTGAAGGGTTTGCTTCCAGGAATGATGTAATTATCAGTCAGTTTGACATTCTCGCAGCCACTTTGCAGAACTAAAGATTGAAATGGTACTTTGAAAGAATGATGAACTTTAATTCTTTTTCCAATTTAGTGTTATGCAATTACACACACTTCCAGGAGTGGAAAATCAAGGGTTTGATTCATTTCCATCCTGGCCTTTCCTAACAGCTTAGATTTTTAGAACTTTATTACAGTTCTCGCGCTGTGGCGGGGGGTGATGATGAACTCAATTTTTGCAGTCATTAAAGAAAGAGGAGTGTATTGGGACAATGGTCTGCTGCTCAGAAAAATGTAAAAGTGAAATAATGGCACAAGCCTTGAAGGATCATTATAATGGGGAGGGAGGACAGAACCGTTCAAACCTCTTTGGTATAAATATCTCTGCTGATGGATAAGGCTTATTGTCCAGTTGTATTTCTGATGGTATCACAAACTACAAAAGCAAAGGTCTCTAGGTTCACTTCTACATCTTCATTGCTAATACATATGTTTCATTACTGGAAGAATCTGCCTTTTCAGCATCTTTCACAGATTTTTTTTCTCAGAAGTTTGGGTATAGGAATTAGTTATCTTGTTTGATGAATTCCTGTGTTGTGTAGTGAATTACAGATGGCAACATTGCTACTAAAAATGAATAAATTAGACCATGATTTAGTTTGAAAACAGTTGGGAACCGTGTAAAGTTAAACTTTTCTAAGATCTGTTAGTTTTCAGACTAAGTTCGAATAGTAATTAAGCAGCATTAATAAGCACTTGATGGAAATTTTACTTAGCCTTGGTTTAAACTGCTACGGGGATAGACAATAACCTGGGGGCTTATTTGAGGGTACTGAAAGAATACCAAATAAGCCTCTCTCACTCTACCTCCCCAGTCCCCACCATCTGAGGATGAACTTACCTCGGTGGATACTTGTGAACCATTTTCAACAGAAGTCAGGATTTAGTGGTTATGCTAAATATTATACAGCTTTTTAATACCTGAAATTTATTAATGGAAATTTAAAGACTAATTATAACTAATTTCATGTCTAGTTACCTAATTAAATATAATTAACTGCCTTTAAAAAAAAAGGGATCAGGAAGCATTTTCCTTTTGCCTTCAATATTTGATATTTGTAAATATAATGTTCAGTAGTATGCAGTCAGATGACCACCCTGCACTTTGTCATTCCACTGCATGAGTGTGTATATGTGGAGTGCACAGAGATAAAATAGCAACAACTAAGGAGCAATATCACTACTTGGAATTTTCCTGTAATCCTAGTAAAACACTCTTGTTATCTAAAATGACATATGGTATAGAGGCATAACATGAAGGCAGTTACTGCTATTTCATTAGGTAGTGAATTTTCACTTAAAAATTTAAGGAGCGAACTAATTCAAATAAAATAAGTATCCCATAGGGTTAACTAAATGAACCACTGTTTACACTGCTCCTAGTACACTCATAACTTTTTTAGGTTAGTTTTTTGAATGTGTGTATGACAGAAATGAGTTATATGAAGATAAGCTCTTTTAAGTAAATCACTGTCATTCAGCAGTATAATCTGAGATGTCTAGCCTTGAACCTCTGATTTGAAAATACCTTCAATGGTCTCTTACATAATCACAGTTCATTTCTTATCTACATCAAGGAATGTTCCTGTCTATTCTGGTAGCCTAACGACTACTAAAGTGAAGTGCTTGGTGACTCTGGACACTTCCTGATTTGGTGCTCTCATACAGGCAGAGAATACTTGCACAATTCAGATTATTTCACTCATGGTGAGTTCAGAAGAAGCAGTAAACAATGAAGAAGTTTTCAAACTAATTTAGTCTCTGAAGATGCAGTCATTTGTTACAAAATAAGAGATGCTCTCAAGATTTCTTTTTGGGAAATTTGCGTCAGTTGTCTGCTTTATGCAATTTCTATTCAGAAAAGAGACCATTAGATAGGTGGGGGTTTTTGTTTCTTTGTCTGTTTTTTTCCATCTAGCAACTGCAAAGAAGAACAAGTTAAAAAACACATTTTCTCCCTAATTTTTGATTGTCACTCTCCTTCCTAAATTGAGGCACAGTTAGGTTCCAGTAAAAGAAGCATAGTGAAATTTGATGAAGTTGGCTGAGACCCAAGAGAAGTAAGGAAAATTTCATATGTCCATCTCTCATGCTCTGAAATACAAGATTCTATTTAATGTGGAAGACAATGCTCTGAAATACAAGATTCTATTTAATGTGGAAGACAAGTCTCAACAATTTTTAAAATAACGTTCTAAACAAGTGAATTAAACATAGAATTCATGTAATTCTTTAGACATCTTGTAGCAAAGTACCTTCACATTATTTAAAAATTGCATTCCACATAATATGAGATGTATTATGTGTCTTTACGTGACAGTATTACCAATGTTTTGATTAGACCTTCTGGAAAGAAGGTGTAGGTTGCATGAACAAATTATGATGAGGCTTCTTAACTTAAAAGGAGCATTTTGCTTTAAACTCCCCTCAGCCCCCCCATTTCTCTTCACCTTTTGGACGTTTCCTTTTTCACAAGTGTGAGAATTGAGGCAGTCTCAGTCTCTCCTACTTAGAGTCCTGTTGGTATTTGCTCTCTTGCCTTTTCTCTCACTCATTTGAGCAGATGCTGCTCCAACACTCTGGTTTTAACTATTCCTCATATTTTCTTTAGCCCTCATAAAAACATATTTCTATTTCCAGCCAGCCCAGTTCCAGTCATGTCGTTACTCCTGGCTCTGCTCCCACCCTGCTTATGAAATGCTGTAATTATTTTGTAGTGGGAAAGTTGGATCATATGGTTGTCCAAATCTTCTTTATGTGCTCATGGAGAAAGAGTAGCCAAACATATCTGATGTTGTCAGACAAATACATTTCACAAATAAATAAATTTTGAAAAGGTACTTTAAGAGTAAGCTCATTTTTATAAATCTGTTCAGTCAAATGAGGATAATTTGACAACTGAAACTCTATAGTTTCATTTAGCCAAGAATTAATTTCTGAGGCTAAATGAAAATTCTACTGTTTCAGAAGAGGGGGTAGGGAAGTTTTGAAGTGAAAACATCAGAATAGTTCACCTCCCAGCAGCAAGATACCTTAATGAATTTTTCTAAAATATGAAAATAGAAGTTGATATCATGTCTATTTATATTCATGAGATGAACTATGAAAATTACAGATTCACAGCATATCAAGCAGACATACTTGGTGCACAGAGATGTGCTTACTGTACTTTCACTAAATTGTGGAGTTTACTATTAATAAGAGTTTTAATTTAATATTATGTAAAACTCAGAGCATTATTTTGCCTCAGGTCAAGTAGCTATTGTTCATTCTTTTAGGCTACTCTTTCTAAAAGGATTGTTCACAACAGCAGTGAAGGAAAGCTAAGATCTGTATTCAAGCACAGGAAAATGGGAAATTTTGTGGTCTCACAAAGGAGAACAGACTGTTGCATAGCTGGATTTTCTGTGGATTCCAGTTTGGTGTTGTGACATTGCTAATACCTAGCAGCTCCTCTTTAAACTTTTTCAATAATACAAAATCAGATATAATTTGAGCTGTAAAACATGTTTTGAACAGTTTGCCTCCAGTTTCTATTCTGCCCATTCTTGTGCATGTGCTTTGCTTTGATCACATAATTAGCCTTTAAATTAGTGGCATAATAGAGCCTTTTAGTTCCCCGGATTGTCACTACTCTACTGTATTCAGCTTTACATTTGCTGGCATATTTTTTATATATGCATTTGAATGTGATATTTTCTTGCGAATAAACTGGTTTAAAAATGAAATGAGGCACGCATTTAAGATGTAAATTATTATTTAGTAATGTATATAACCTGAGATATCTCCAAACACCTCAAAAATACCCTAACTATTTAAAGGGTTCATAGAATGTGTCCTCCTTTTGGGGAAAAAAGTGAAAAGATCAGTAAGGTGACAATTAAAACAAAACAGTTTCATGTATGTACCGTACTATAAAGTGTGAAAATGAATAAAATAAGGGTAGATATTCCTATCAGCAAATATTTTCTGTCTGATAGTAAATGTGAATACATCATGGTTTTGCATTAGGCAATATAGAATTATATACTTTCACAAGTGTAGTTCTTCTATTGGCATTTGGGGGCACTTTCTATCATTATAGGAATAGCTATGATAGAATAATTGTGTGGTGTGTTTATATCCTTGGTAGAAACATTTTCCTTTTCCTTGAAAATAGACCATTATTTTTTTGAACACTGCAACTGCAATATATATTCATTAATATTAAAAATATATTTTAAAAAACCAATGAAATTAAAAATCCTGTGGAGATGGGACATGGTATGTAGATTATATACTATCCACACAGTCCTTCATAAGACTCTGGTCTACAGAATCCAGATTAAAACAGCAATAGATTTTTATAGCATAAGATATTTTCTCAGAGATTGTTTTGTCTAACCTATATTCCTCTTCTTCCCAATTCTCTTTCAGACAGCGGTTCTGTGGATGAAAAGGTTTAAAATCACCTATTTGCTATAGGGATCATGTATTTTGTTGATGTTTGTTTGTGACTTCTTTGACCTGTTTTGTTCCTTCATTTTAGTTGTGAAATCTGCATGGTTTTTTTCCCAGCTTTCCACTCTTTTGTTCTCCTTTGAGTGTATTGCAAATGTGTTGCATTTATAAACAGGATAACCCTCACTGTTGTGCTTATCATAATTGCCAACACAGGGGTCTGCTGCTGTCAAACATGATATCTCATATTTGCCTCTTAATTATCACCTACACTGCATTCACTATAGGACTTAAAGGACAACAGTATTTGGGAAGCAATACCTTATCTTCCCATGGGTTCTTCCAGTGTATTTCACTAAATGCTGAATGCTACCAAAATGTATCCCAAAGGAATAGTTACTCTAGCTTTGGCCTGGAGCTGACCCTGCTAAACATTTTCATATGTCTTATATGTTTGATGCAGTTAAATTCTGACCCAAGCTTACTAAAAGCAACCAAGTAACTGTACTTTTTTTGGTCTCTATTAAAGGCTCGGTTAGTAAGTGGAAGTTCCTTGGATGCTTCCAAGCTTTATGCAGTCCAGGCATTTACTGGGTGAGTACCAATATGACTTTGAATGTTGTTGTTTATATCTGCAAAGTAGTCTCATAACATGGTAGTACTTTTTCTAAGTTATCTTAATTTAAAAAATTGCACTATTTTAAAGGGAAGATACACAACAAAACTGACCGTGTCTTCTCCTTTTCATTTTTTTAATTACTTTTTTTTTTGTGAAATCAATACAACAATTCAAGTGCCAAGGGGACTGGATGACAGATCTTTTTACCTTTTTTTGCATATAAAATAGATGCCCTTTGAAATTGTAACACAATTTTGTCTTCATTCTAGTAAATGTAATATAATGCTAGTAATATAATGTCAGTCTAGTACTTAAAAACTAAAAGGTCAAAGGAAAAGGATCTTCCAGTGGCTCAGTGTGAATGTGGCAGAAACCAGAATATTTTGCTTTGTTGTCTCCAGATGAAGTTATCTTGCATCTAGTTATAGGGATTCCTTCCTTTGAGGAAAATCTCTCCTTCCTATTTTGAATTCTCCAGAAAAGAAAATAAGTAAAAGTCATTGGTAAATTTGTCAGTTACATTAGTACCCAATTAAAAGGGATATTACTATTTTGCTGGCGCACTATGAAGGCACTTTTTGCTGTAGATATGCTTTGTTACAAAGACAAGGTGATGACATCAAATCAATCATTCCTCATCTTGTTTTTATATCTGAAAGGCTGTACAACAGATACTAGATACTATGAAGTTTTCCTGGTTAGATTCCTAACCAGGTGGTTAGGTGGGGTGGGGGTTACCCTAAAAGGTAATTATGGCATTTATTTGCTTAATATAATTCACATGCTTCTGTGGAAGGTATAGTTAAGGTAACATTTGTACTTATTGTTAGACCTCTAACAAAATTAAGAGCATTCTGCAGCTTTTCAGTGGCTTAGGGAGTTTCCAAATAGTTTCTCATACCTCGAAGTCTTATGTTTCTGCCTTTCCCAATGCACAAAACCTTCAGAATTGCTGTAAAGGTGTGAGGCCACATGTGACATCAGGCAGGATTAGTTGCTCAACATAAACCAGAAAAGAAGCAGTTTGATATCTAGTTATTGTGGAATTTAGGAGAGCATTTTGTAAGCAGATTCCAAGAGTGTAGGTACTGACACTCAGGTATTGATATCTATGCCTACAGGAAGCTGTATGTGACCATACTGTTTTGCCATATGTACTACTTTCCATAACCAGTTACTGAAATACCATTTCCTAATAGATGTAGGCCTTTAAAAATAATGTATGAGATTGTATAGAATTCTAATTTTTTGTGGGTTGCACACTAAACAGTCTCATAGGTGTTAGGAGAACTTTTGCTACTGACAATGACTGTACAGACTGAAGGTGCTCTTTTTATGCCCTCTCTTCCAGTCACAGGTGAATAAATTCAAGTATTGAATCCTCTGAGAATAACCTGTGTCAATCCCTTGTTAGGACATCCTGTAACCACTGAATGGGACGACTTCAAATGACTGACAATAGCTCAATACTAGCTCATGTTTTTAGATTAAACATTACTTCTACTGCTTACAAAGTGTAGACTGGGCCTCTCCCCTTTACTCTCTGCAATATCCTTTTTAAACCTCTGTTTCACTGGGCCTCCCTGAAAACAGTTACGCAATTTTCATTTAACTTCTCATTCAGCAAAATAATTCTGTCATTTCAAAGACTTCCGTGGCTCTGTTTTAATCACACTTCCCAGTCTACTCCTGCATACAAAAACTAATCCTAAATTCTAGGATCCCTCAGCCTATTCACTGACTGCAGTTTTAGCTACGATTCTTTTTTACTCTTACGATCTCCAAAACATGTTACTATCTGAAGTGAGAGCAGATTCTTTCCTTCCCAACCATTGATACTGTGCTCTATCTATACAGAAATATCTCAGTTGCCTCTTTTCTGCCTTGCTCTTCCCTCACTGTCCTAGCACAAAACTATGAACCCCACCTCACATGCACATCTCACCAGCACATCCCTCATCCGTGGCAGGGACTGCAACACTTCATTCTCTGCAATGATCTCCACTTGGCTGCATGAAATGAGAGAAAAACCAGGACAAAAAAAGCAAAGGCAAAGACCAAAGACAGCTTTCCTGGGGTTTCTCATCCAACCTCTCTGTTAAATGGCAAAAAGCACCACCTTTCCTGGGTCTTCCATACCAGTATCCCATAATAGCTTCTTCATTTTAACTTTCTTCTTCATTTTCTTGAAAATGAGACACTTTAGAGTTCATTATTCACATATTTTTAAAAAGTAAAAGGAGGTCAGCTGGGTTTTTTGTCATGAATCTTGAGTAGTACTGGTTTACTTTTTCCAGAGACTTGGTCTGTACTAATTTACTGTTTGTCTGATGGCGAGTCAGAGACTGATAATTTTACACAGGGCCTAATCCATTCTGAAATTTGTTCATGATACACAGATTGTGCTCCATGCAGATGACTACCTCTTTCCTTCAGTGGCATGCTCTCAATGGTAAAACAAATTTATTTTTCTTGGACTCCAATGAATTCAAATACATTATTGTTGTGCAGAATGTCTTCAGAAGCACATAAAAGATAGTATTGCAGATTTTTTTCATGGCTTGAATAATAACTTTGATTAAACTTCATCATCTTCTGTGTCAAGTTACTGTTGGCTTATAATTGGGCATAGGGAGGGGACTAGAGAATTTAATTTATAACCTATATTAACATGAATGGTTTTTCTATGACTAGTCTTTAATGTTCCAAAGATTATACACAAAGACTAATATTTCATTGTCAATACAGCATTGCCCAGTTTGTTAGCTCTGATGAAGTAGCTATTCTGTTTTTCAATAAAATTTGATGTCACAATCCAGATCAGTATATTAATCTTCTAGTGATAGCCAACAATCTTTGCATATTTACAGTCCTCTTACATGCTGTTAGAAGGATTGATTTGTCCTTATGCAGAGAATTTGTGCATTGGAGGATTTCTAGTTTACATCCCCAAAATCGGGGCTGTTTCAGTAAAGATGCAAGAAAAAATCCTACGTAAGCAGTTCTCCAAAAATAAGATTGATTTCAGCCAAGAGGCAGGAGATGTTATTGTCTTCTAGGAGTTCATCTGGTCATTGATTCATTGCACAAGAGAAAGGAGACAGTTTCCCTTCACAAGCTGCAGTTTCAGATTGCAGTTCTTCCCTCAAATGTGCTTAGCTTCTTCATCTCTTAAAGGTATTCAGGTGAATAAGTGTGTATGTGTAAGAATTTCCTGACATTGCCAGATTTCAAAAATTAATTGCAGAGAAGTTGCAGAACCTTCTGATGGAATACATCAACTTCTTGGTAACAGCTACGGTACCGCCCTGGTGTTGTCAGAAAAGATGGTGAAGTGCATTTAAAACCAAAATATTTAATGTCATTGATATTTCACTTTGATATTTCACTGGAGTGAGTTTTAGTGTAATACTTTATCAAAATAACAAAATGGGTACCTCTTCACCATATATAACTTATAAGTAGATATTTTTTATATTGTAGAGATGCATGGAGGAAAAAGCAGATCAAGATGTTTCTACCAAGTTGAAGTTGAGTTGAAAACCACAATGAAAAGATTGTGGGGTGAAGTACAGATTGAGTAGAATATTAAGCTATTTAAAGAGACAGAGGTGTGAGTTGTGACAAATTACTGACTGAGCATAAATTACACCACTAATGTCATAATAAAATATCTTTGCATTATGTATTCATCTGCCTTTATTCTGTCATTCTTGCTGTTCCCTCAGAAGCCAACCTTTTCTTTTTTTGGTAACATCATCAACATTCTTAACTCAGACATAACTTTTTTTCCCCATAAAAAGACTATTAGTCGTTCTTGAATTTGGATTTTTTTTCCTTGCTTTGTGCTACTCCTTAATGATCAGTAAAAGGAGTTCAGTAAGAACCTCCGTTTCAGTCATATTTTATATTAGAGAGCAAAATAATAGATGGAAGTGATTTTGCAGATATTGTCTGTCAGAAGTAGCTCTTTGTGGCATAAGAATTCCTTATACACAGGGTGAGTTTTATTTGCTGCTGATGGAACTGCTCCTGAGTACCAAAAAGCCCTGAGTTTATCTCTTAGCCTCCATACATTTACTTTTCACAACCTCAGAAATGTTATTTTATTTCTATTACACTTTTGATGGGTTTGTAGGTCTGGAAGTTGCAATTTGGGTCTACTTTGATCTTTATGTTCTCGAAAAAAAATTTTAGTATCACAACCCTTCACAAAGACTGTTCATATCAAAATATAAAGGAATTGCATAAACAGCTTATGAATTCTTTCCCTTTTTTAGATGATGATGCAGGGGCATCAGAAGGGGGTATGAAAGAAACAGATTATCCCCTGAATTTATAGGGTAAGAGTTAAGATGGTGCTTGGAAAGTGGTAATGCTCATAAGTGTTAAAATAAACTCTCCTATGCTCCAAGTGCTTTACTCACTCAACTAAGATAGGAAAGGCATGACCGTTTTTTCTCTTGTAACTAGAAGGAACTCTGCAAAGAAAAACAGAATGATGCCTTGATTTTAATATAGGCAACTTGGGAATTTTCTGTGCAAAAAACTGTCAATACGGACTTGATGCATTAGAAGAATTAAATTGTAACATCTACATCCAACAGGAATCCTCAGCCAGAGTCACCTTAGATATAGAATTTGTCAACTTTTTTGTCAAAGTTTGTCAGGTGGTGCAGGTGGGGTGTGGGGGTTGTAATCCTCAAGTCACCAAAGGACTATCTGGGACTGAGTGCTGACCCTTCAAAAGGAAGAGAAAATTCTGTCACTGATTTCAGTTCTCTCTCTTTTCACCCCAAAATTGTTTTGTGTACGAATAAAATGAGGATTTTCAGATGATAAACTGTGTTATACACCACCTTTCTGAGAATATATCTCTGAATTAGATCTGGCAAGGAATGTAAGAATCTTCCAATATCCAATGCAGAAAAAGTTCAGGAGGATAATACCTGTGTTAACTGTTCTGAAGAGTCAGGAAGAATGGGGCACATTGTTATCTCTATCACTATGTATTCTTTCAAATTCTATTGTGTCAGCCTTTTATTCTCTGAAGTGATTATGAGTTGCTCTTTACTGCTGTTTCCAAGTTATATGTGAGATCTAATTGGAGTTTAATCGTGTGCTTAATGAAAAAGCTTAAACCGGGAAAGAGAAAATAATGATGGTCACCATGGAGGTATCTTAAAATGGGACAAGCTCTGTTTTCCACATTCACATGGAGATGTGAATCTGTGACTTTGCTAGATATTGTAGTCTTTATCAAATTTATTACAACAATGATATTCTCTGCAATGTTGGGCTGCATCTCAACTACCAGATATACAAGACCTTCTGATGGAAAGCGACTGTTCTAAATCAATGGTAAAAAGTTTTAGGAGGTATTAAACAGCCTTTCAACTACTCTGTTTTGGGTTAATGCCAGAAGTAAAAGACAGCAGCACTGAGAACACTTTCACCAGCTTTTTGTAAGAAATAGAACATTTGCCTTCTTTAGCTACTAACTGCTAATTTTGATTTTATCTGTAAATATAGATAATATAAGCAGTTCTTAAGGATGCAGACTTGTAAGCCCCGTGTTTATATTTTCTTCTTTGCCTTTGTATCTCCTGCAGTGGACTGTATGGCATTGACAGCATGCCAGACCTGCGCAGGAAGAAATCTTTTCCCATTGTTCGAGATGTGGTGAGTAACTCCTGAAACTGTTCATTTGTTTGTCAGTTGTCTACATCTTTCTGGTAATTACTACTGTGCATGTGAATGACAGTTTGTCAACAACTGTGTTAGGGAAAATAGGTATCTTGAGAGAATGGATTGAGGCCAGTAAAAGTCAATGAGGCAGTGTTATAATGGACTAGATAAGTCTGAATATCTCAGTGAATATTTAGATATTGCTTGTGTAATCAAGTAGTGTGCATTTCGTGCAATAATAAACTGCCCATTCTCATTTTAAGTTAGCTTATGAAGACAGGTGCTATTAAGGGTTTGGGATAGTGATTGACTTGATTTGTTTTGAAACTGAAAGAGGAAGAAAGTTCCTTTTAAAAAGCAACCCTTTTTCACTAGGAATATTGTAAAGATTTGTGCGTACTTTTGGTACAAGATGAGGCATGGGGTTTTTAACAGTCATCGTGGGCAATAATAGTCTAGAAAAATAAATTTCAGAAAGGTGAAAAGAATGGCAGTTCCTTTGAGATTTATTCTGGCTTCTAGTCTAAACAAGATTAAGTAGAATCTCTCTGCTCTGAAGAATTTTGAGTGCTATTCACATTTCTCTTTTTCTTTTCCTGAAGTACAGAATTCATAATTCAAAAAAATCTAGACTTAGTCTCTGGTGGTGAGCCCCCAAACCAATTTTTCATTGTAAAGAAATGATGGAGAGTTAGACTAAGTAAATGTTACTGGAGCTCTCATTAAAAGATCAGCCTTTGCTAAATTATTGCTGTGTTTTCTCAGCTACACTGTTCGGTGATACACTGTGCTATCTGAACAGTCAGAAAGAGAAAGTACAGCAACCCTTTTAGGGTAGAATTCCTTCTGAAATCAATGAAATATTACAGTGTGTGACATAGTATTACACAAGTATAATCTACTGCCCCGTTATGACACATTTATGCATATTAAATGACACTCTGTTGTAATTGTAAGAACTGTTTGCAGAAAAGTATAGCTCAGAATTCATTAAGACATCAGAATGTTAATTATTCACTTTGAAAGGAGTAACACTTTCATTTTATTATTCTAGTATGTGAGGGATTGTTGCTTTACTGTCCAGTCCCTGGAGGATAACTCCTCTTGAAGGAATTCTATCTTTAATAAGTATAAATTACAGAGTTTTAAAACTGAAATTCATTCTGAAATTGAATCATTATTGACTTACAGTATTGTTCTTAGCTATGTGTTCTTTAACTGTATACATCTTTAAAAGAGTAAATTGTATTACAATTCAGTTCTATATCTGTAAGCCTAAAAAACTTCTACCAGCATTAAAACAACTTATTTCAGACTTAGCGTAGGTCTTCATCTTTGAAAGATTATTTGTATTTAAAGGTATGTGTTTCAAGCAACCTCCTGCAAGCTCTGAGCTTTCAATATGTTCCAACACACCTCATTTAAATCAATGACTTAATGATCAGGTCCTTGTAAGATGTGATACACTGTAAATGATCCCTGTTTTATGCTTACTTCTGACTGTTTCACAAAAATAGAGATAATATTGCTAGAAATGAGTGATATACTCTTTTGATACTGACTGAAATAGATATAATTACATATATATTTCTGTTGCAATAAATCTGGCAAATTATTAATATTCTTTAAAATTTCTTTCCTGTCTTGGCTGGATTTTCAGGCTATGGTAAGTACTTTTATACTGATAAATGTTCTAAAATTATAGTAAAAACTTTTATGAATTTTGTTAATGTCATATTTTATTATGAACTTGTATTGGAAAGTAGGAAAAATATTTTATGACCAAGAATTTAATCATAAGAGAATGTCTTGTCCTCTGCATCATATATACCAATATTGTTAGAAAGGTGTTAAAAAGGCATTGATGTATTCCAAATATCCTTTCTAATGATACAAGCAGAACATTCAGCACCCAAGCATAATGCTGTTGAATTATCACCAACTTCAGTATTTCAGAACAGCAGCATTTTACTTATGGACTTTTTCTTGCAGATGCAGTTTATTCTGACAGTGATACCTAAATGGAAATAACCCTTGTGATTTTAATTTTTTTTCACTAAAATCCCTGTAAATTTAATCCATATGACTGTTAAATATGCTGGTTTATCACAAATCCCTCTGGGCATCACTGTCTTCCAACATGACAAACACTTGATTAAGAACAACCTAATTACCTGTTTTCTATTGGGTTTTGTTATTTTATATAGGGCACTGTACTGTAATTTTAGACACATTTCTGATTAAGGAGCAAAATGGTAAAGTTCCATGATTCCGTGAGCACCCATTGGGAGAACTGAGCTTCAAGGACACAGGACAGGGCCAAAATTACCTTCCTTTTTTCCTTTTTTCTCATGGGAAATAATATCTGTTTATTGACTTCTGCTGATATCATGAAACTGCAATTCTGCTGGCTCATGTACTTTGATGAATTACTGGAGGGCAGAACACAGTAGCAGTCACTGCCCCATAATCCAGGTTAATGTTATTATACCCTTTTTACTCCTGCCCTGACAAGTCATCCACGTTGTTCTCTCACTTGGAATGACTGGGATTGTGCAATTGAGACCTGAAAGGATCAAATCCCTTTTTAAGTATAAGGGACATGAAGTCTACAGTTCCAAACTATAAACTAGCACACTGTGGGCAAGTAAATGTAAATGAGTACTTTGCAAGACTTTGAGAAGAAACCCATGCTTTAAGAAGGATCAAATGTTGGGTGCTTTTAAAGTAATTTTATTTTAACCTGAAACTCTACTGATTATGAAAATTGTTTCTTTTCTTCTTAATGATCCCATTGCATTTTTACTTACCATTTTTTACTTTGATGCATGGGTCCTGTAGCATTAGATTTTGTCACAAAAAGTTTGAAACAGCAAAGCCTCTGGACTCTGTTTAATCTTTCCTGTGACTTTGTCAATCTCATTGGCACACACTGATGGAATTTCCCATATTCACAGAAGTAGAATGAAAAGATAGTCACAGAGAAGTAAACAGAATTATTTACTTAATAATAATGGTATGGGAAAACTGATAGCAAATTAATGGCATAGAGAGGGTAAACTGCTGAGTTTAAAAGAAAAAGAAAAGGAAAGTTCTTTGCATCCCATCTTAACTGTACTAGGACAGTGATAAATCAAATCAAATATTACTAAACCAAGGGTGACTTCTTACCCTATAATTGGTTTCACAAGATTAATAATTTTGTGTCAATCTGCAAGTTTAATTATTATCAAGAGAAACTTATTGAAAATTGAATCAGAGGAAGTGAACATTTAAAATTAAAATTGAACAGTCTTAATATATCTAAATAAATAAATAAAAATCCATTTTAAATGTCAGCGTTTAAAATGATAAAATGGGAAGAAATTAGAATTGTCTCTTCATCCAAAGATTAATGATGCAATTCCTCTGTTGATGTGAGCCTGAATTGCTTCTGACCCAATACGTATTTCACAAAAAAATGTCATATGCAAAATATCACGGAAACTTTTGCTGTAATAGCTCTGTAATGGTGAACTACAGAGACACACTGCCCAGTTAGGTGAAAATTTGTATCCCCACAACAAAAACAACAACAGATTTATGGTTAGTGGGTGGTGTCATTGATCTGCACAGTGCTGGGCTATGAGGGCAGCAGTGCATGACAAAGCAGATACTGGGTGACAGAAGAACAGAGATATAAAGCACAAGTATAGAGACACACATGGGGTGATTTAGAATGGGGGAAGGAAGAATGAGAACAACATTGCAGGTGAAGTGCAGTAACAGAACAGTGTTATGGTTGATATTTCACACAGTGAAATAAATGTTACCTGTTTCTGTCAGGCCAAAAGGAGTACTGATAGCAGAAGTGATATTCAGATTTGAAATATTATTTGGAAAACACACAGAACTCATTTCACCAGGGTCTTTTTCCTTCTGATCATTATACTTGCTAATTAATTCTCAAGGAACTGTTTAAATTTCAGGGATATTGCAATAAGGAATAGAAAATTTCATTGTTTATTGTATATTAAAAATATTTTGAGTCACTTCGTATGTACTGTACTAGAGCAAATGAGATTGTCTCTACAACCCAGTGTGTAGTATTTGGAACCAGGAAGTGTTCATAAACCAATAACCTCATGTGGCCAAACGAGGACAGATTGCAACAGAGTTCCAGCCTTTTTTCTTGCCTCCAGGAACCAGAGTATTTCTCCATGTATCCATATAGAGAAATATGGATACTATGATCCATAGTATCAAATTAGTATTCTCTTTAAGGAAAATAAGAATTTAAGGTTTTTCAAGGTCTTTTTATTTAAAACAAGTAACACTTTTATACATATGCACAGTTTAAAAATGCTCAGTGAGTTACAAAAATTATCCACACTGACAACTTGAACCGTAAGACTACTGCAAAATGATCTCCCGTGTTGCTGCAGGCACAGTCAGCTTCCAAATTAGGGCAGGATGCCTATCCTTGTACCACATTAATTTGGTTGGCAAAGCGGAAAAACAGTGACAGCCTGTGGTTTAGAAAAAACTAAGTCACAAACCTCTGAATAACAGGTTTTCTATTAGAAATGGCAGTTCAGCTGGGCACTGCTGAAAGAAACAGTAATGATGATGGAAGGTGTACTTCCATTATGTACTGAAACCTTCAAAGTTGTGGGCTGCAAACATTAACTAAAAGTTTTTGGAACTTCTGCAGTTTTTTTATATCCAATAGCATAATCAAGTGCTAATTGCCTTCCATTAAATTTGACAGCTGGTGTTACAAGTATAATTTTAACCATTTTGCATTTGCCTCAAACAGACACTTGCAGCTCGAAAGTCTGGTATTTCCATGGCCATGCTCACCCGGACCTCCATAAACACTGAGGAAATGGTAAGTGTGTTCAATGGCACATTTAAATAACTTAAATAATGGAGACATTTTTGTTAAAAGATCTTTAAAATTTATTTCAGCCTTAGACACTCCAAACTGGATGAAATTGAGTGTGTAAATATTCCATTTATTGAGTAGGAACTTTCAGGGATCCTGAGCAGAATTTGCTGCCTGACCCACGGTTACAAGGCCAGGTTTGCTTCTGCTGACTCACACCCATGACAGTCAAAAGAGACTGAGCAAGAAACTTTTGTTTTACCAAGCAGTTATTTGGGGGAAGCATTTTATACCATGCTTTACCTGCAGTCTTTCAGCATCTTTGTCTTCATCACATCATGGGTGCAATCAGAATAACAGGACTCTGCAAGAAGGTTTCTGTGTGATCATTTTTTCCCAGTCCTTATGGGTGGCTGGGACACTATTTGACTTTTTTTAATGTAACTTTTTTAATGTAACTTTTTTAATGTAACATTTCTTGAAGAAATGTTTAATTCATACAAGAAGTGATCACCAACATATTCTGAAAAATCATATTCTCATAGCTAGTAAAACCTGTGTATTGTGCTTTCCCATTATTGGCTTCACTTAGATTTTGAAAAATAAATTTATTCAAAACAAAACCACAAAAGGTGTCATTTTCCTCAGGAATACTTAAAGTGTGATGCAAGAAGATTTACATGACTAAACTAAGCAAAAGGACTAATCTGAAGGATTATAGGCCCATTTCTTGTTCCTTAACTTGCTAGTGCATACATCACCTTCTAAAATATATCCTACATTGAAGAAAAATTAAGTGTTGAATTTTTCTTACACAGTTGTTAAGCTCCAAAGTAGAATGGAAGAACAGAATATGCTGACAGGTGTTCTGGGAACTGTAACCCACAGCACAAATACACACATGTCCATCTCACCTGATTTATTGTGAAATTTCTGTGCTTATATGGTAATCATAAAGTAACAATTTGATAGTGCTCAGGGATGGATTGCTGAGGTAGAAAACAGCTGGTGTTTGAAATGTTCTTTCAGTAGAAGGAGGAGTTATTTTATTCTACTATCTCAAAATAGTAACAAAGGTTGACAGAATGAAAGAGAACTATTGAATCTTAAGAAGAAGTTCAAGGCTGAGAGAAAATTATACAGAAAAACTTACACCATGCAAGTCGTACAAAAGACTTTTTTCATTTATGTTATAGTTTCTACAAAAATACCTAAGTTCAGTAAAAGAAACTAAGATACTCCATATGCTTTACTAAAAGATGTTTACTGAAAAAAACCCTATGTATGTATTTATTACCTTTTATGATGATTAATATAGATGTAGCTATTCATTTACCTGCCTCCCTTCCTGTAAAAACTATCAGACTCTGACTTTAGTTGCAAGTTTCAGAGATAATATTAATTGCCAACAAATGCAGGACAATAAATAATAATGGGGACTGCACTTACAGATTCTTATTGAGGGGTACTCTTCAGGAGGAAAAAAGAAGGCAGCAAATCCCAGTAGACAGCTCAGTGTAAGCATTTCTCCAATGCTTGCTGTCAACCAGGAGAAACGACTGAACTATGATTCAGGAGATATGGAAAAATAATTTCAATGTGGTTTTATGCCTTTATACTCTCTGGCCTCCCTTTGAACGATGCCATATGAAAAACTCTGCATCAGAAATAGATATTTCCTAAGAAATCTTTAAATAAGAATGTAATTCCAAAGGTAGACAGCAAATACAATTTAGATATATCAAAGTTCATTTGATGAGAAAATGTAAAAGCTAATTTAGAGAAGAGGTGAATAGGAGAAGCCTGTCTTATTCTTTAGTGAGCCAGCCCTCACTAAGCATATAAAGGGAAGTGAGTAATCTTTCACAGATAAATGTAATGCTACAGCCAGGAAAGCCACTGGCTAGATATCTAAAACATGGAAAAGATAATGCTTTTGTACTTGGTCTCTAAGTAGCCAGCTGAACTTAATAACCTAGGGCATCATTCAACAGGGTAGAGCAAGATTTGAAAACAAAAAGGACAGACATTTTCAGGCATAAAAGAACTCTCCAGATACTCTCCACAAAATGAAGATGTGAAATGCAGATGAAGAAATGCAGTCACCAATGAGAGTTAAAGAAAAAAATCCCTTTGGGCAAGTTATTCCTCTGATTAAGGTTTTCTGGCTTTTACCCTCCCTCAACTTTTTCTAGAGGGAATATTAGTGACTCTGGTGGGAGCAGGTTATTTGGCTGACTAGATTCAGTATGGAAATTCTTTGAACTAAAGCCTTTTATTAAAAAAATCAAATGCCACTTGCACAAAAAATTAAAACCTGAGGTGAAGGCTGCGAGCTTTGCCACCTGACAGTGCTGTCCTTCTGGTAGAGCACACACATGACACAGTGGGTTTGTGTGTTTTCAGACACAGGTCCAAAGACATTTTAAACAATGTCATACTTAAACATACGTTTTCAGTTGAGCGTTCATTTAATTGCTTTGCTGAACAAAGAGACAGGGTTGCAAGTCTGTAAAAATAATATATTGATTACATTTAAAAGTATTTCAAGTAGTATATGACAGAAATAAACTTCAATTCAGAGGATAAGCAGGTAATTAGATAATTCTCCTATATATTGAGTGCTAAAGGTTGCCATGCCCAGAGCTCAGTGAATTCATATAACAGAAACATTTAAACAGAGAAAAGTAATAGGAATGAAAGCCTCTAGACAGAAAGATAAATAAAATTCTCCTTTGCAATTTGCTTTATTAACAACAGGGGAAGGAACATGTTCAGCAGCAAAACTAATCTACAAATTGTGCCTTTCAGCTGAAAATTTCATTTATCCTCAAATGTTTACTTCGAGGCCTGTTGAGCTGTGCCATTTCATTACTTACTGACATTTTAGAAAAAGATAAAAGTTACTGACAAAATAATTTATAATGTGAAAAACCAGTGAAGCTGAACAGGGTGAAAGGGCAGGATTTGTACTGAGGCTACTAGAGTTCAGGAGTGGGACAGTGTAACCTGCAAAGGAATCTTCAAATATCTGGTGGTTTCTGAGAAGCATTATTTCACAGCAGGCTGCATAAATTCATCTTGGGTTTCTTTCTGATCCCTGTGACTGGCAAGTTGTGACATGGCAGGCAGAAGGTGGAGACACATGCAAAGAGGAATTCTCCAGAGTTAGGTGACTATGACTGCCCCAGTCCTCCTTAGGGTCTGCAAATCAAACCAGTGCAGACCTTTCCTTGCTTTCAGGGAAGTTATTAGGACAGGCTAAGAAGCACCCCAGAGAGCAATTCAGAGAGTCTTTCCTGCTGTATCAGGTTTTTTTCTTAGTTCAGTTCTGCAGGGTTCTCAGAAGTGCTAGGATCAAATACCCATGAAATGTCTGACCATGTATATTTGGTTTGGCTTCACAGGATGGATGTTGTTTTCAGTGTGTAACTCTTAACTTCAAGAAGAGTTGTTGCAGCCTAAGCTACTTAACATTTGGTTCTGCTATTTTTAGTGCTTGAACCTGTGGATCAGTAGATTTATTGCTACATGCTAATGGTTTTCCCATGGTAGCAAAAGTCTAATTGATGACTCTGATTGTGCAACATTATGCAGATGTGTGCACAGAAAATATTTTATCAGGCAATTTATCATTAGCAGAATATCTCACATGTTTTGAACAGAGAAAACCAAGAACATGTCAGCATATTGGTAGACAGCCTAATATCTTGCATTTGGTATAAACTTACCACAACTGAATATTAAATAAGGGAGTGCTAACTAATGCTCAACTGAGTAAGTTTGCTTTGCTTCCTATCCTGTCAGAACTGTGGCAGAGATGTTGAAGCACAAGTGGACAAGTCACACACATTCCCAGATGTTGTTCCCCATTTTCTACAGTATTAGAGCTACCTCATATTATATCCACACACCAAACGAAGACATGGATGGACAGACAGATTTTCAGAAATATCCCTCTGTGCCACCCCTTTTAATATGGTTTCTTCTTTTTAAAAGAAATAATCATTCATTATAAGGGAACAGGTCTAGAACTTCTAATACATTCATGGCAGCGATGCATGAGTTTCGTGAACACACAACCCCAAAAAAACCCACAAATGTTGTAAGATCATATTTTTGTGTGGTGCCAAGTATAGCCTACAGACTGCTGAGCTTTTTTCCTTCCCAGTAAATCACCTGGACTTAGAAGATCTGGGTGCCTGAAAACAAAGCTCAGATAAACAAACTGGACTATTGTGGCCGTATAAGCCCATGTTTTACATACAAAACTTCAGAAATGGCTTTGTTTTTACCTTATTAGGCACTGAGGAGCTGAGATTGAGGTTGTTTCTGTGCTAGTCAGCCAATAACTGTTCTTGTAGTAGAACTGGTCGTGAGTCTTAAGCCAAAACAGTCAAAGAAATGGATGTGGATTTTTGAGAGCATGGATCATTCTTGTTTACAGGTAAAAAGCAACTTCATGCTTAAACAGGAAGTAGTGAGTATGCTATTGCAGACAATAGCACAGGAAGACATAAAATGGGATCCTAAAACTGGCCAGCTTTTATTTGATGAGATTATATAGACACTACATATTAAATGATAGCATTGTATATAATCAAAGTACATTTTGTACAGTGTGTCTAAGTTCCTGTAGAAAGTATTTAAATATTCACAAGTAATGTTAGGTACCTCATTAAAATGCACCAATGAATTGCTGATGAATTTTTTAATTTCTGCCTAAAAATATGCATAAGTCTTCATGTTAATTGACTAACTTGATTCCAGCTTAACTCTGCTGTTTCTGAGTTCAAACAAAACAGTCATCCAGGGTTCTTTTGTCTTCAAAGTGTAAGGCAAAATGAGTAAATCAGTATTTTGCAAATTCATACTTATATATATATTCTGATATTTTCTAGCATGGTAAGTGTAAATGACATATAATTTAGCTACAGTTCACTTGTATTAAACAGTAGTTCAGCCAAAGTCTTGATTTTTTTTTTTTTCTTACCCAACAGAAAATACATGTCTTCAAGAAGACATTACAGGCTTTGATCTATCCTATATCATCAACCACACCTCATAACTTTGAAATTTGGACAGCTACAACTCCCACATACTGTTATGAATGTGAAGGTCTGCTTTGGGGCATTGCCAGACAAGGCATGAGGTGCACTGAATGTGGTGTCAAATGCCATGAGAAGTGCCAAGACCTCCTGAATGCTGACTGTTTGCAGAGTGAGTATTTCTTGATGACTAAAACATTGCAATACTTCACATCTTTTGATTTTGTGTGTACCATCAGATATATCCTGAAACAAAGGACCAGATCATCCAAAATCAGTGAGGGCATGTTTAACAGTTGAGAAGCTAACCAGAAACTTTAGGAAACAACTACTGTTAATTTTACTTTTGTCCTTAAAATGTGCCAGATGTTGCGGGTCAGTTACAAAGTAATGCTTGGTAACATCAGAGAATCGTTTACTTTCTACTGCCTAAGCCTAAAAAATGGCAAAGATTTAGTCAGGAAGTCATTTGGGACCTTTTTCTTTGCTTTTTCTTTGCACAGATTGATTCCAACCACCATGCATTCTCCTTCAAAAATATACCAGGTACATTGAAACCATACTTAAATTACAACACAATTTTTACACAAAGTTCTAAACAATAGAAAAACAAGACCTGCAAATTGTCTTATATTCTTACTTTGGGATGAAAGACGCTTGTATAACTCTGGAGTTATTCCCCATTGTTCGCTGTTGATATGTTCCTGCTCTTCTACGTGTAGGAAAAGTATATAGATATTTCAATCAGGTCTTCCTTCTTCCCACTATGTTTTCTGTGTGAAGAGCTGTCACAAGGGATGGATTCTCAAGGTTCATACTGTTCAGGAACTAATCAAAATTTCCCAGAGCAACTGACCCCATGGAGCACAAACCAATGATGAATTTCTAAATCAAGCTGCTTAACTGTGCTTAATTGTGATTCTGCACTATGGCTGAAACTGGGCTATGTTTGACAAGTAAGCTTTTGACATAGTTTCACAAGTGAGAAAGGAATGTTTGCTTTGAAAATCAACTACTACAGAAGTAGCTTGTACAGCATTAATGTGATTGTTTGTGGTGAATAGTCAAAGGTGTATAAAGATGATACTTTTGAGCAACTTCTTCAATAAGTGCAAATAATTCTGTTACTGGGACAGCAACAAAAGCAGGTATGTTTTCAGAATGTCAGTTCCTGTTCACTCTTATTGACTAATTGTCTCGTTTTCATTCTGGGTGTGTTTTAAGACTGGCTAAAGATAATAATGAATTGCACATCAACCCATTGATCTCTGTGTTTTGAGTAGTCATTTGACACCCTGTTTCTGCTGGGAATCACTTGGTTTATACTGCCTGGATTTATAAGCATGGAAATGAGTTAAGTTTGTACTTCTGCTGGCAACGGGATATGTGCAAGTCACTTGCCAACCTGACGGAGGAAGCAGAAAATAGGAATAGCTTTCCTAAATTTAATGTCTCCCCTTATGCATCTTATCTTGTTTAGTGCTATTTACGTGCAGGGGTAAAAAAACATGGGCACTGAATTGATACTGATATTCTCAAAATGTAATGTGGGATTAATCTTGTAGGGGGACCATAAACCAAATCTTTATGGACCGCATTGGATCTAATTGAAGGTTACTTTCTACATATCCTTCAGGAACTGGGCTACTGCTGGGATTAGGAGCTACTCTGCTATGACTCACTTTGCTGCTCCCTGAAAAGGCTGATTGTATTCTGTGACAAAGAGATAACTCTCAAGTCTTCTGTAGAGTGTTGTGGGAATTCCCGTATCATAATTACATACAATAATGGTCTAGAAATAAAGCATAGCTGAAACTTACTCCACCAGAAGGGGACATTTTATTTTGGAGGATTGAACAGAATAACATATCATGTTATAACGCTTTGTTTCAGAAATATTTTTAATTTAAGAAAATCAATATTAATTTGCTCCATGAAACATATGCAACAAATCTTGTTTCAACAGTAGTGTTATGAAGTATTGCAAAGATCAGATGGTTATGAGCATGGTAATCATGTCTTTGTGCTGGGAGGAACCTTTCTGTTACTGTTATTTTGGTGGTTCTCGTCTCACCAAACATGTGAAAACCCTCCTCTACTCCACCAGGATTTCCAACCTGGTTACTACATTGCATTCAGTCCCCTTTTGAATTACATTGGAGGGACTTGGGAGGTTTTTTTATTGGAAGTTTCATATGGCAAGAACATTTATTTCTGTCTCATGGATCCTCTGTCCTGTAGTGCATTCTTCTACAAGTACAGCACAATACAGATCAGTGGTGTATTCTTAAGAGATACCTTACATACAGTCACCCCTGCTTGAAAGACTATTTAGATCTGACCTCTAGGATTTTGGTTCATTTTTATCAAAGAAAAAAGTGATTAAGTCTGTGTCTTTTTATTCCTGTGGAAGATTGAAGAGTGGAAAATGAAAGCTTCCTGAGGTGTCTGTAGGAGCTAGCACATGTAAAGTATAGCATTTTAATCTCTTTTTGCTGTTTGAGAGAGTCACAGTTCAAACTGGAATTGTTACTACAGCTATTTCTGCACAGTAATAAAAGCAAAGTGAAAAAAGCAAGATCCAAGATCATGTCCCTGACAATTTCAGGGTTACAAGTTACTCACAGGCTGCATGTAATATTATGATTTCTCATAACAGAGAATGGTTAGAGAGGTTGTTCTTTGTGAGGCTTCTTAAAAGTGATGAAATCTCTTATCACTGCACACACTGAAAAACAACATTTAAGCCAGCTAGGCCTGAGTATAACACCAGTAAGGAGCTGAGCTGTTATTACTCCTCAGAATAAGTAATTCTTTCCCTATGGGGTGATATACCTTCACATATTTGCATGCTGATCATGCATCTTCCTGTTTCACTTTTCCAACTGTCAGGGCAATAATCCTCTGCTAACTTTCTAAGTGCTGAGCTGGTTTTCAGGGTGCCACAATCATGCAGGTGGCATGAGAGATGTATCCATCCCTGAAATAATTTTATCTGGCTAAAATTGAAAAGCTACAAAAGGCATACAGTGTAAAAGTCCCTTTTTATCTTCCTTTTCACTTAGCTGAAGAAAAATTCATCCCAGAGGTTCCCTGGCCCACATCACTAACCCAGAAAACCATAAAAAGTATTTCAGAGCACCATGCTGTCTTTGAAGAGTTTTTACAGATGTATAAATGAAAAGTCTTAGAGAGGAACTGCAAAAAAAGAAATAGGATTGGAAGTCATATGTGGTGTGGACAGTTCGAAAACACTGAACTGCAAAGTCTTGAAAGGACAAACCTCTAGAAGGCAAATTGCAGATAAAATATTTAACACACCTAAGGGATCCCACTCTTCTCATTAGCATGCAAATGTTTTTGAGCATCCTGTCATATTTTTTTGCAACAGATTAATTGTTCAGTGGGTTGGAATATTATACTGCTTTGAAAATTAGATTCATGCACTTTGTTTTACATTGGAAAAATGAATTGACCAATTGGTTAAATCTCTGTTGCTGCGAAAGCTAATGCTAACAGTATCATAAAGTGCTATCTAGTTATTTTTATCACAGTCATTCTTTGGGCCATCTCATAATCATGAGGGCGTATTGGCCTCCAAACCTCTGTAATCTTTTTAAATGCAATGATTGGTAATGTAGACTGTAGAAGTGAAGTCACATCTCAAACTCTTTAAGGTCAATATCTAACCTTGTTCTAAATTAGGTTTGAAAAAAAATCAGTAGTACTTTCATTAGACCACTCATCTTCAACAAGATATCCCTTTCTAGTACTAGGTGCAGTATTAAGTTAGAATTGATTTCAATCATGTTGAGTTTGTATCAGTCCCTAGGGTAAAAGGGGCTTGTTAACTTTGTGTGCAATGTAAGTTAACCATATTGTCTCAATTAATTTGATCAATACTGCATGAAAAAAGTTGTTGATAGACTGTCAGCAATTGAGGATGTAAAAATAGTTGCAATAAATAATTTCATATAAATAGAAGGCTATTTAGTTAAAGGAAGTTGCATTTTAACACATATTTCAATTTTATCTGTACAATTTTATCAGCAAGGTTTTTAACAGGAATATATTATTGCCATTCATATTGTGTCCATGGTTTATCATTCAGTTATGATGTTGCATTTGTACTTTTTAAGGAAGGGTAGAAAATAAGAGAAAATGAAAAATATTCCTTCCTGCATCTTCCAAGAATGACGTGTCACACTTCCAAGCAGATCAACCATCATCCCTTTTGTAATAAAATCACTAGAGAATTCCTTATCTGGTATTTAATTTCATGGTAGCATTTAATTCTATTTCTACTTATTCCTAATTTTTCAGTCTGGAATATCTTTAATCACTAGAACTGTGGTCTTCTGCATTCAAAAAAATTAGGTATTCTGACCTGGAGATTTTCAAGATTTTTCAAGATTTAGTGCCATGGAAAACACCTGGAAGAAGGCATATAATTCAGCCCTCTGACAATCTGGGATCACTGGTGTCTGTTATCTCATCCCACACTTTTCCAGTCTTATGACATTATGCCTTCCCACTTTGCTATCTCTCTATATATAGATATCTCTTTGCCTGCAATGTGCTAAGATACCTTCAGGCACATTGAAAAATGAGGAAAACAAAAACGTGAAATATTTGTTTAGTAAGACTCCACTGAAAGATGACCCTTTCTAGTTCTGTGGATGTGTTGATAAATTTTTTCTTTAGCCATTGCAAGCTGAGAGTGACTCAACAAAAAACTCCTTCCAAAGAATGTACTGGTGTTTGATGGTATTGTAAAGACAGAACTCTGTTCTTCTTCAGTATTAAAATATCTGTATTCTAATTTCATAGCAAATTATTCAGCATAATTTTGTCTTAATTTTACTGTCCTTTTAAAGGGAACAATAATACTTTGATCCTCCCAGGAGCTGAGGATGGCTAGTTGGATGATGTTTCCAGAAGCTTTTGGAAAAGTACTTAGTGCTGCTAATGATAATGATGATGATGATTGTGACACTCAGTGCCTCAAGCCTTTGAGCAGTGTTTAACAACATGAGCCAGAATTCAGCAATGCCTGTAGCAAGTGGCAATGTGTCATTGATTGTAAAATCTCTAGTATTCATCTTGTTTTATATGTTAGTCTCATCAAGAGGTGGAATAGCCCATTAAGCGCTGCAGGAATTTAAATTTTTCCTTGCTACATTTGTAATACTCTCCTGATCATAGAGGTCTGATGTTTCCTTCCTCACACCCAACTGCAAGATCAATATTTGGGTTTTTTTCAGTGTACATTTAGGTATTGTAGAGACATTGATCAGGAACTCTTTCCTCTGGCACACAAAAGACATTTTATAAGGTGAACTTCACTTTTTTTTTTTTTAAAGGACCTCTGAGATCATTTACAATTGTTCGAGAGAGAAATCTCTGCAGAGCACTTCTGAAAAGAACTGTGAATAAAATCTGCAACAACTTGGTATCCTTATTTTTTTTTTAATTAAACCAATAAAATTTGTAGTGGTTTTCATGTTCCAGAAAAATTACCTGAGTATTTTCTTTGTTTTCCGGACATGTTTTATAGGACAGACCTGACATATTGCCACAGGGTAATATAGTCTAGAAGTATTCTCACATAGATAATATCCTCTGATCTCTTCTACCATCCTCATATTCTTTCTGAAATTATCAGTAATGACCATTTTACTGAAGAGAAGAACCTCTCTGTTCTGTATCTGTGATATGTTATTTTCATGAGTGATCCCTCAAGAAGAGTTTTAAGAAAAGCATTAAAGTTTAATACCCCACGAGCACAGTAGTGGTGTTTAATGATGGAGTTTTGAGACCACAATTTAGTGCCTACTGTTCAGTTCACGTGTTCAGATGTTTTCACAGTACTGAGCAGTACTGATTCAATAAATATTTCTAGGTATAACACACCTGATGGAAGTTGAATATTAACCCATCGTGTTTAACTAAATCAGTTGATAATTTTAGGTATCACAAAGAATAAATTCTAGAGTCTTGGTATTATTCAGATTAAACAAAGGTCTCATTTGAGTACTGCAGTACCAAGAGTTGACTGGAGACTCTAGAGGCAATAAAGAACTAAATTAACTTTTTAATAACAATAGTGACCTTTTCTCTCATTTCAGGAGCAGCTGAAAAAAGTTCCAAACATGGTGCAGAAGACAAAACACAGAATATTATTAGTGCTATGAAGGAAAGAATGAAGATTAGAGAGAAAAATAGACCAGAGGTTTTTGAAGTGATCCAGGAAATGTTTAATATTTCCAAAGAAGATTTTGTACAATATACAAAAGCAGCAAAACAAAGTGTTTTGGATGGAACATCCAAATGGTCAGCAAAAATAACCATCACAGGTAAATTTCTTTCTTTCTTTCGTAGTCATCTCCTGGTTCAGGAACAAGATTTATTGTAAGCAGAGCTGGAACCGTGTGTTCAATTGCACACTTGGTGCATCAGCAAACAGTTGAATTTATAGCATGCTAACTGCAAGAGCTTTAAGTTACAGCTGCTGGCAAAACTACTTTATATTCTTCTGCTCTAGGAAGGAAGATGAGTAAATGGCCTTGTTGCATCTCCTCTACCTCCTGCCAGTATCTCCTGTGCTAATGATGAGCTTTTTGCCAGCAACTGCAAGAGTCAAAGGTCACACAAAAAGGTTTTGGGTGACTAAAAACGCTTGAGCTTGCAGTCCCAGACCCCATTGGTTTGAAACTCATCATTCGTTCATGTTATTTAACTAAGGGTGTGTTCCAGTTCAGTGCTGCTGATGCTGCACACCCAGAACATGCTCCAGATGGCTTCCAATCACGTTAGCCTGGTTGCTCATGATGATTTCCAGGTCTTCTGGCTCTGACATTCAAGTTTTTGAATTAAAACCTCACCAACAGGGGAGTGTTTTTTATTACTGAAGGTTGAGGGATGGTGCACGAAACTCAAAAGAATAATTGTTGAATTTTGGGACTGTCACCAAGCACTAGGGACAGAGTTAATTCATATGTTTGCTTTTAGTTGTACCTCTAAAAGATATTGAAGGCTGTCTTGTGTTCAGGCCAGTATAATACATACAATTTAACAACCCTGGAAGACGTTTTCTAGGCTGTCACTTAATTCTCCTGCATAAATCACAAAAGGTTACTTCCTTGCTATCTAAAAATTTCGCTATGGATTTAGAGTGAATGGGGAAGACAAAATATACTAGTTTGTTCCTAAGCGCTAGTCTTTTCAGAAATTGGATGCATAAAAGAGTAACAGAATCTCACTTTTTTCACTGAAGTCAGCACATGTGACTGAACCCACACAGGAGCTGATCTGCTGAGCAAGAAGGTGTCGTTTTTATGTAATCATTTTTCTGAGCACACCAAGGGAGCTTCATTATCCAAAATGAATGACATTAGAGAATGTTAACTAAATGTTACCACTGAGATGCTTTAAATAATATGTGCAGAATAACAAAACCAAGCTCAGCTGATGGTAGGAGACAGAGTAAGTGTTTTAACTGCAGTTCTCTGGGTTTGGCAGGTTGCTCTTTGACAATTCCACTTTCTCCTGAGGTTTCCAGTTTTATGAATTACAGTCAAATTGTGTAGATTTATATTTGGCACTAAATTCATAACCATTAACTATACACCCACAATAACTGTCAGAAAAGCTAGCAAATACATAAACAGTTAATGATAATTGATCTGAACTGTCACCCTCTCTGTAATAGCATAGAAAATATTCCGAAAACCATCAGGGTTCATCTCTCACATGAGGAGAACAAATGACAAATCATACCCATGCCCCTCATGTTTTGTTTCATAATCCACAGACAGATTTTTTTATATTGCAAGTTTTACTTTGGAAATGCTAGTTTGGAACTTTGGAGAAATTTTGGAAATTGTTGTTTATTTTTTGGGATTGGGGATGGGGGGGGGAATTTTAGGGAATTATTGAGCTCAAGCCAAGTTATACAGCAATATTCTATTATTTGCCATGCTGATTAAGCCCCAGGTTGAGAAGAGTATTTGAATTATGCATCAAAAGTATTTGGTTTGTGCTTGGTAATGAATCTTTGCATTTATTACTCTATTAAACTGTATTTTAAAATTGTATACAGTCCAAAAGGGTAGTTAGACAAGCCTTGTCAGGCTCCAGACTTATAGACACTGGGACAATAATCCAGAAATCTTTGTTTCAGGAGCCCTCACTGTGATGATTTTCTTTCCTGTTGCTGTTGTCACTGTCATTTACCTTTTGATAATGAAGGTCATGAGGGCTAAAGCACGTTTCCCTCCTTTTGTTGCAGTTCTTTGTGCTCAGGGCTTGCAGGCTAAGGACAAAACTGGCTCAAGTGACCCATATGTTACTGTGCAAGTTGGCAAAAACAAACGGAGAACAAAAACAATTTTTGGAAACTTGAATCCCGTATGGGATGAAAAATTCTATTTGTAAGTATAGAAGATACTATTATTTCTTCCTTTTTTAATTTACTTGTAGGTAATATAATGCTACAAAGTGAAATAATCACAATATTTTTTGTCTGTACTATGCGTATTCATAGCATTAATGCATTAGCAAGTTCTGAATGGAGAGAGCATCAAAGTTTTTTGTGACTTTATCTTAAAGTAATCACACAGCTCATAATCAAGTCCTTTTAGGGGATCTATTGTTGGTGTCTGTTTATTCTAATTTTTTTAGGGAACTTCAGTAAGTTTTCAGACTCTGACCTTACATACCAAGTACTGACATTATAAATGCCTTCCCATGTGTCAGATACTGGCTATGCAAGGTAAAGGCATTTTTATTTGACATGGTGATTCTCCTGAGTGAAACTGGGGAATTTTGTAGGAACTGATGTGCTTCAGGCCCTGGGATGGGCTGTTTGTAATGTCTATGCTTTTAGAGGCATGTGGAGAGTATGTTATGATTCTCCTGTCTCCTTTCTTTGGCCACAGCCTCGGAATGGGGTCAGAACACCACAGAAGTTCAATCCTGACTGCAAAAATGTTCAGTTTGTAATACATTGTCTAAGGTTTGAATATGATCTCATGTCAGTTTTGCTGAAGTCCCTAGATTTTTTTTTTTTCCCCCTAGAAAGGCATGTTACAGTACAGGAAAGTCAAATTCCCAGGTACTATACTGTTCCATTCCTGAAAATATTACCTGAGGATGCAATGCATTCCTGACTGAGAGTTTGACTGATTTGACAGTAATATCAATTTACTGTGCTATTCCTCTACGTGTTGCAGAAGTATTTGAGTATTTATTCTTTCCTTAACTTGATTATGCTGTACCACAGTATATGATGTGCACTTAACTACTATTATTAAACTAAGTCAAGGATTCTGAAAAGGTAATAAACCCCCTGGATTTCCTCTGGAAATTTTTAAGTGAAAAAGAAACATTTATTTAGGCAGATTTTTTAAATTGTTCAGAAAAGTTCCAGTCTACTCTGAAAGCACTTACCACAGTAATATCAAGTGAAGTTTAGGAGGTGTTTTATGAAAGCTGTGTGAAAACACTAGGATCGTAAATTCTGAAAATAAGAAATTATAATAATAAAGGATCTATAATTTAAATGTTTGTTAAATAGAATAGTTTTATTTGAATTTGTACTGAGAGTATATGCAAACTGTTGACACATTTTAATAGCCCAACTTTTTGGTACTACATTATGGAAGTCTAATATGTTTATGTCTAATAGTTATATTCAAAACAGGGTCTTAATTTGCTGCAACTTGATGAAAGATTGTATCAGTGATGATAAAAACAATGTGTCATTTTTTGAAACAATGCGGAATTTATGAAGCAACAACAGAATAGCTCAGGATCCTGCAGACATTTAAGATTCAGAAGGTCCAGCTGGTCCCTGTGTGCAACTGGCAATTTCAAACTAGGCACTCACAACAATTTAAAATAATTGTCTTCAGACTATAACATTGTTTAGTTTATTCTTATATTCTTTTCCTCCTATAAAGAAAACATGAGTTGCCATTTTTCCTATTTACATAAAAGTGAGAACAATTGCTGTTAAGGTTCAGGCATTTAAAGCAGAGTACTGTTTTCTTCAAGAAGGTGCAATATCGTAACATGAGGAGTTACCTTCTTATCATGTAGCACTTGCCCGGGTTTTCACTAAAATCTGCTCCCTTATTGTTGAGGAGGTTATTGTTTCAGTAGTGAGTTCAAAAGAGGTTTGGTCCAATGTCCCACTTCTGTTTGTCTGGAAAAGGTACCAGGGAATCCAACTATAATAAACTATGTATGCTCATGCCTTTCACAGATTCAAACACTTGTATTAGAAATAAATAATTAGAAATAATTCAGAGAAAACAAACACCTAGAAACTTTTTACAGGCTTCCCCTATACAGATGGTGTTTTCTTTTTTAATTATTTGTGCTCCTCCAGTAATAGTTGAAATGCATGAGTGTGAGTGACCAAAGATAAGAGATTAATTCCTTTCTTGCGCTTAATAGTATGAGTTGCATAGTGTCAAAAGTTAGATGAGAAATTCAGCAAATTTGTGAGGATATTTTAAATGCATTTTCTCAAAGATGTGAGCAGGGCTACAATAAAGTCCCTGGAAAGTTGAAAAAATTCTATTTTTTTCCCATCACTAAGTATTACTATGATCTGCTGCTCTAGCAATAACATTTATAAAAACCCTTCAGACCTTACTATAGCATGAACCTCCAGAGTAACTGCTTTGAACTTAATGTGTTTTCAATTGTTTTCATAGCACTTGTGCTTTCAAAAATAATCTTCCTGACTTATTCAATGCATTGGATTTCAATTCAAAATATATGAGGATTTCTAAAATGTATTAAATAAACTATAAATGTTTAACCTCAAGATTAAATCTAAAGTAAATCAATATAACTGTTTCATTGACTCAAAAAGTATTATTTAAAGTAGGCTCTACTAGTGATATTTGCCAGTCATATTTAAAATCTAACATTAATCATCATTATAACTCCTAAATGATAAAACTGCAGAAATAAAATGTGTCTCAAAATCTTACAATCTTATATTTACTCATAATACCAAAATATGCATTTAAATCTCCCCATCTGTTCCAAAACAAGGACTTGGAAAAAACATTGGCTCCCCACTGTGCATTTGCTCTGTCATAACAGATAAAGTGAGGGCAGTGTTCTAGTTCTTAGAGTTACACATAACCTGACATGATTTCATGGTAAGCAGAGAGCGAATGTTTCTAACAAACTGTAACATGACCCTCTGCTAAATGGGATATTGGCAGAGATTTTAACATGGGAACTCCTAAACCATTAGAGCTTTTTGGTGCACAGGGTAGAAAAGCAAATTGACCAGCAGATTGTTGTGTAATGAATGTAATATAGGTGTTAAGGGCTTTGATCCTTTCTACTGACATCATTAGAAAGGAGATAATAGAGCAGTTTTTATTTTTTCACTAAAACATCGGTGATAGGAGAGTTTTTTTCAATGCCAGAGCAAAGGAGGACTCCTGAAGCTGTTTGTCACCTTCTCTTTCTTCTCGAGTGTGGTATCTGATATGGGAAAAGGGACTGCATTTTCAGTTTTAGCTACAGGAAGATATATTCGGGCTGTGTAGTTTTCAGCTTTGTAGAAACATTTGGATCTATATTCTATAATAAAACTCTACTCTCATTCTTTTCTTGACCATTTTCAACAGTTGATTGCTGAAATACAGAAATCTGGTTTCTCTGACACTGTTGTCTGGCAAGCACACATCTCTAATTGCCTTGCTGACTTTGCAGGTGTCACATTTTCTCTGACCATTTATTAACATCTCAGATACAAATGTAGAATACAGAAGTCTTTCAAGTAACTGGATTACTATTTTCCATTATTTAGTCTTTCTATTTTGCACATATGTGCTCTGATAAGTAGCTTAATTGGATATATATACTGCTAACTTCAGTGCATGAAAACATAGGAACAAACTGATTTCAGGCATCCAGGTATGGATGTTCTTCCTTAGAATTATTCACATTTTATTTATTCTGAAATAAATCATTAATGCATTAATTTAAAGCAATATTTAGTATAAGCAGCCACGTATAGAAAATAAATACAAGAGGACATCACCCAAGTGATGTCATATAAGAAGTCATTTTTATATATTCTTGATCGACTGAACTCACTTGTAAAAAGGATGAACTTCACTGTAAGTGAAGATAATGTGATTGGTTACCTGTTTAAATGGTGTTCCAGTGATATCTAAATGGTGTTCCAGTGATATCTAAACACAGTTTTGTGAGAATTGTTGAAATAGCTTCAGGGTTGTCTCATAAGCAAAAGTATATAGCAGACAATTATATGACATAAAACCAATTGAGTAATAAAACCTGCATATTAGTTTACTGGACTTATCCATTTTAGGAATTCTTCAATAAGCAGCCAAGTTTCTGAGAGATTAATTAATTAAAATGACTATATCTCACATCCTCAGCCCAAATCAAGAGAGAAGAACACTTCTAGGAAGCAATTCTAATGATAGATTTATTGTTCAGCAATAATGTTTTTCAGTTTCACAGTACAGCATGTTTGGTCTGAGTCTTTTTCTCAAACTGCTGTCAATCCAGATTAATTTTATACAACTTTCTTTTTGTTATGACAGAATAAACTAATGCAAGAAAAGACATAATTAGTCTCATTCTACTTTATCAGAAAGCATGGCCCATGACCACACTGCTAAAGAATTGGGACTGCCCAGACTAGAGAAGAGACAAGTAGTGGAGGTAAGGATGTCTTTAAACACATCCTTTCTCCTGCAAAGAGGAAAGGAATAATCTATTTTCCATGCTTACTGTTATAATAGAACAAGAAGTAATAGGCACAAAGTCTGTTTAGAGAGATTTAAATCAGACTTCAGAAAATTTTGCCAATAGTGGGGCTAATGAAGTACTGGAATAGATTTCTTGAGAGACTACGGAACTACCTCTAAACACATAAGAACAGAGTGGACAGAATTCTCATAGCAATGCTGTGGATCTGGTTCTGGCTTGCAGTAATGGCAATAATAATAAACATGAGGATAATAATAACAATGAATTGCTTCCTAAACTTACTGAAAGTAGCATAGTATCACTTAGTTGTCATTTTAACACTGGGTGAAGATCTCTTGGAGAAGGTGTACAATCAGGTCATGCCAGTGCATCTAATACTAAATTTACATTGGGATACTATTGTAGAGATAGTTTACTATTACAATTTTATTACTCTAGCCATTTGAATAAGCAGAAATTCTGTGAGGGTTATTTTGTGTCTTTATGGCATTCTGGGAATGCAGAACTAATGTGTCACCAGATTGTTGGTAAATTATTAAAACTGTCTCTTCTATCTTGCATCTGTAAATATACTGCAACTTTCCCAGCTTTCAGTATCTTCATTTTCTGTGTGCTGAAGAACAATTCACTTCTCACCGTCTTGTATCACATCTCTGTGAACACTTTCACTGAGCATATAAAGCAGAGTGGCAAGAACAGGAACACTAAAAATAGCATATGTTGTCTTAGCCTTTAATTTCTTGGGCTGATTTTCCTGGACAGAGTAAGCAGAAGTAGGAATCCCACCCAGGGCTTCTGCACAGATGTTACCAGTGACTAAGGCAGAATGTGCATGTCATTAAATAGTGCTATTTCGAAGAGTCTGGGCAGGTAAGTAGAATCATGCAGAGACAACCCTGTGATTTTAATAGTAAATCTCTCTGCAGTCACACTGCCACAGCACAGGCCAGTAGAAATATTTATTCATCCACTCTTCAGTTCTTGCAACACAAATCCATGCTATTTTTGTGGTCTTGCACAGGAACATTACAAATGTAGCAGAGCTGACTCAGTGCTAAAGTTTCGACACAAAGATGAACATGAGAGCTGATACATTGGTTGTGATGGGTCTCACCATGTCTCACTGACCTAAGGTTAAGGGAGAAAAGGATGTGGGAGACACAACTGAGGATATCAGGGAAAAGTGCAGTCATCCTGACTACCTGAATAAATATTTCTTAATCAGCTAAGCATACATCAGAGGGAAGTCATTGCTGTCTCAAGAGAATAAAAATATGGTATTTGTGCTGAAGTACCATTTAGTGACCTTTTATATGCAACACCTCCTTGAGAAGCAAAGCAGGAATAAGATTTCTACTAAAAGCACAGGTATGGTGGTGAGGGTCACATAAATTCCTCACCAGTGATGGATCTTCCTATGCCACTGTAGAAATCCCCTGCTTAATATTTCTGTTGGGTTCACACCTAAATGCAATTCAGGACTCCAGCAATGTTAAGCAATAACTCAGAGCTACGTTTCAGGAAAATTAAATGGTTTCTGGGTTTAGCCTCATTTCTTAAGGCAACGACGTTTATTTGATCCATCTCTATCTTCCTATATTTTATGTGTCCTTGCCAATAGCTTTTGAATTTTGTAGTCAGTCAGAGAAATTCCACAGGTTGCCTGTCACGTTCTGTGAAAATCGATGGTCAGGGAAAGATGAGAGATTAGATCCTGATGGTGTCCCCAATATGAGCTCACCCCATAACAAACACCAGGGAGTTCACATGCAGGGGCAATTTATGAAAATCTCAACTATGGGGAAAGATTCAGTACATGATTGCAGTTTGTTAGATGTCAGGGAAGCCAGTCATAAGACAAAAGGAAACTAGGCTTTATTAGTTTTGCTAATCACAGAACAATGTGTGTTTTAATTACCAGAAATATCTGCAAAGTTAAAATCTGGAACACAGGCAGACACAAGCATTTCTGTGATACTGAATGATGTCACAGTGCAGCACAGTAAGAGCTGTGCATGCCATTTTTAGTGTCTGATTGGTCTTGACAGTAATAATACCATTTACAGCACTTTATTCTTCCAAAGCCCATTACCACCACTAATTAATTCTTAGAATACCCCTGAGGGGTGCCAGTTGGAAGATAAGTTAGAGTATTACTGTTTTAATGCTGGAGACACTGAAACAGATCACTGAGCAGTGATAGTGCTTGAGTAGAATTCAAGTAAAAACTCTTAATCTAGTGTAAACTAAGACCCTGCTGAAGATAAAAATTTGCTGCTACACTTTAAAATTATATTTAAAGATGTGTAATTTTTATAATATTTTTGCAGCATTCTTGAGTGGATATTAAAAAACACAACTAGAATGCATGAGTATGACATGCCTTATAGCTGATGTCTGTACTAGTCATCAAATGTCAGCAGAAAATTTTTCACTACCACAGAGTCCTGCAGTCAGTGTTAGGATATTCCTATCAAGGCATCAAAAGCCAGCACTGATGAATAGTAAACAGTCTTCATTGTGGCTTATAGAAATAAGCAGCAATAGAGTTTCTTTTCCATTTCTGTGCAAATACATGCAGGGTGTAGCTGGGAGAAAAAATTTTTATCCACTGGGTACTCTGCAGATTGCAAGTGAAGCCTCCTCATTCCCTCACACATCCAGTAGTTTCTCAAATCCGCTCAATCCATGAGGGGTTAGTAAGCAAATTAAATTTGCAATAAATTTTTTAGTACATGGCAATCTGTCTCTACTCCTTCTCCTTAGCAGGGAATGGAGGTCTTGGAGAAAATTACTGTATCTTTCAAAGAAAGAAGCTACTTATTTCCCTCTGTTTTTCTGTTTGCCTTGTCTTGCAGTGATGTTTGTGGGTACTTTTTGACTTTTTTCCAAAAGCTTCCTGACACACAGTGGAAATGTTCTTTAATTTTTTTTTCACTTTTTGTATTATTCTAGACTACTACTTTTGTAGTTTGCTCTATGTACTACATAGCATTCCTAAACAAATAAACCTGACCTAACTGTATCTTTCTTAGGATACTTGTTAAATAATAGCATGAAGAAGTACACATTTTAAATTAATTAATAATTTAATGAGGAGTTTGTGACATTCCTAAAGACAATCTCTGTGCATATATAATTCAATCAAGTTAATCTCTTTACTTTCTCATATATATAGCAATTCCAGTTTTGTCCCTGGTAATGTGGGATGGCCTTTTATTCCACTAGATGTTGCAGGTTGTTTGTATTCTGACACTTTATGCAATTAAGCAAGTGTATGAAAATCGAGGTCAATTAATTAGACAGCAGTACAGAGATATATAGCTTGTGTATTACTCACATTTTGTATTTTATTTTTGTTTGTCCAGTGAATGCCATAATTCTACGGATAGAATAAAAGTGAGAGTATGGGATGAAGATGATGACATAAAGTCTAGAGTAAAGCAGCATTTCAAAAAAGAATCAGATGACTTCCTGGGGCAAACAATCATTGAAGTGAGAACACTGAGTGGAGAAATGGATGTATGGTATAATTTAGGTATTATTTTTACTGATTTCTTAAAACAGATTGAGGTAGAATCTCAGTGTCTGTAATTTTGCAACTTTAAAAAAATATAGCTTTGGTACCAATATGCAACTTTTAAAATCTTAAATATTGCAGGTTGATTTCATCCTTTTTTGGTTTCTGACAATTACAAAGAGCAGACTAATCCCAAGGATATTAAAGAAAAATATTTCATTTAAAGCAAAATTAAAACTGTGTAAGAAAACCGAACATCTTAGGTAGTCCCATAACAGTAGCATTCTTTGGGAAATACATTTACAAATATTTTTATTGTTCTTCACATTCATTTTATCACATATTTTAAAAAATTATGTATTACCATTCTGGGCTTAATCATCTGTTTTCCACTGTTCTCTGTTGTCCTCAATGACTGCACTTTCTTGTCTGGACAGGTCTTTAAAATTATCAATCTTTCAACCAGAAATAAATTAATGGAATAGTGTCTCAGAATACATTTTCTCCATCTAAATCGAAGCATAAAATAATTTTAAAAGTTAATCTCCCATATTCAATCATAAAAATATGATATTAACATTTTTATTTTATTTAAGTTAGCCTGCTCTGTAATAACTTCAGGTGAATTACATGACGTAGTTTTCTGAAATTTTTTTCCTAATCAACAGCTTTTTTTACACTGTCTAGTGTTTCATTTCCCAATGACATATATAGATATTTCACGGAACTATTTGATCTCTTATTGGCAATGAATATAAACTCTTGGGTTTTTTCCTGTCTCCCATGGGGGGGACCACACACTGGAGCAGGGGAAGACTGTGAGGAGTCCTTCACCAGAGGAGGAAGGAGTGGCAGAGACAGTGTGTGATGAACTGACTGCAGCCCCCATTCCCCATCCCTCTGTGCCACTGGCAGGGAGGGGTAGAGAAAATCGGGAGTGAAGTTAAGCCTGGGGAGAAGGGAGGGGTGGGGGGAAGGTGTGTCTTAAGGTATGGGTTTATTTCTCATTATCCTACTCTGATTTCATTGGTAACACATTAATTTTTCCCCAAGCTGAGTCTGGTATTGCCCGTGAAAGTAACTGGTGAGTGAGCTGTCCCTGTCCTCTTGACTCATGAGGCTTTCATTCTATTTTTTTTCCCCTGTTCAGCTGAGCAGGGGAAGTGATCCAGTGGCTTTGCTGGGCATCTGGTGTCTCCCCAGTGTCAACCCACCACACTCAAACACAGTAGTCCAGGTTCTTGCTAAAGTGTTCATAAATAAAGGAAAATAATAATAATAAGTACAGATAATAGATTGAAAATTAAAATAATTTCTTTGAAAAGGGAAGAGCGATAAATATATTGCAGTGCAGCCCGATTTGAATATGGCAGATAAAATAAGAAACATTCGTTATTTCACAGTTCAGTATTCTATTTCATGGACTTAACCAGGTGTGACGTACTAAAAAATTCTTCTTTTTCAACAGCAGGACTTTCTGACTTTAAAAAAAGTCATTAAACTAGAATGATTTATGAAAGCTTTTCACATGACATACATGTGTTCTTGGTAGTTAATTGATGTATTATTTTTCTGCTCCTCAGAAAAGCGAACAGATAAATCAGCTGTCTCTGGTGCCATTAGACTGAAAATCAATGTTGAAATAGAAGGAGAGGAAAAAGTTGCTCCCTATCATGTGCAATACACCTGTCTACATGAGGTATGTAGAAGTTAAAGTATACTCTACAGAAATGACTATTCTGTTGTTGCAAGGATGAGGAAAAAAGGCTACAGAACATTAGAACACTGTAACAAATAACTGCTGACATACCTCAGGACAAGTTTATTTTAGATTTCCCATTTTGTATTGCTGATGGCATATCAGGTTCAGAAGCAAAGGCAGAACAATGTAAGACCAACAGATCATTCCTGCCAGTAGGTGTTAGAAAAATAAGAGATAGAGCCAGATAAGCTCTCCCTGTACTGTGTTTTGATTTAGCACTTTGATGCTCCTTACATGCTTTCTGACATAGAGAATATACAAACATTTTGGTATATTATAGAGATAGAACTATTAACTCTGAAGGATTTATTTCCTCCTACATTAATTCATATCTTGGAGAGAGTGAGAAAATGCAAGAGAAGCACAGACAATATAAAATTTCATTTTCCTGTCATCTAGATTGCTTTTGTCAACATTGGAAAAAAAATCATCACTGACGAAGCAGTGTGTCTTTTGAAAGCTTTTCCTAGTAATTGGTTCCCCTTCCCTCAAATAGTGAACCATGTAGAAATTCTGTTCCGAAAATGCAATCAGTTTCTGAAAACTGATAGCTAATATATGGCTGAAAGTTCAGCACTAGTATGTATCCACAAAATCCCCTTGTTCACCATTTGTAAAACTGGATATTCACAGGGCATTTGTGCTGATAGATTTTGACCTGCTATTGCTAAAAGATAATCTTTAAGAGGTAGTTATGGGCTAACTAGCAAAACTGAAAGTATTTCAAAGTTTTAGGGTTTTTTTCACCACTGAAAATAAGAAATAAAATTGGCTGCTCAATTAGCTTTACTCCCAAGGTTACTAAACCTAAATTTTACTGCACCCCTTGCACTGATTGAGAGGCATGTGCCATATTTCTGTTATCTTCCTGTAACTTACAGGTCTCAAATAATGAATTTGAAATTTATTGTTCACAGAACCAATTAAAGTTGAAACACTATGTAGTAAGTGTTAAAACATCACAATTTCATTCATTAACAAGGGCAATTAATAGATAAGTTTCTGCAGTATTTTATGTTGCAGTCTTTCTGTGTCAGTTGACTGTCAGGACTTCATATCAAGGAGACAGAGCAATGCTCTGAATCACAAGCCTGCTGAGTAGTTTGTGCCAGTCTTCAGAAAAATAAACAATAAAAAAACCTTGGCAATTCATATATTAATGACTGTATATAGGATGTATTTTCAGAATGCTACTTAAAAGCCTAAATTCCCTGTTTGAAACGTTTCTTACCTTTAGAATCTGTTCCATTACCTGACGGAAGTTAAATCTAACGGGGTTGTGAAAATCCCTGAGGTGAAAGGCGATGAGGCCTGGAAGGTGTACTTTGATGATGCTGCACAAGAAATCGTGGATGAATTTGCAATGCGCTATGGAATTGAATATATTTATCAAGCTATGACGTGAGTATTAGCAGGTCTGCTTTTCTGCTCTACTCTCAAGAATCTGAGGGAATAGACGAGTTCCAAGGCTTCATGCTTTCATTCTCCATTTCTCTTCCATTCCTGATTTAAATTTTTGTTATCATTTTCGTCCATTTGATTCTTGTTGAAGTGCTTCTCATCTGCAGTGGAATTAAGATATATTATAAGCATTTATGAGCTGTTACTGGTATTACTGCTAATGCATTTCTTAATCCTTATGATACTCATATATAGGAGGGCTCAGAAAGACTTCCAGTGTTCCAGATGGGACTGGAGTGGTAGAACAGGGATTCACAAGCTCTGTACTCTTTTCTAGGAGTACAGAAATCATCACAGAACAGCAGCAATGTCTGTAGTGAACTTCCGCATAATAAATACAAACTGGTTTTGACAGTATTGAAACCTGTTGCTACACTGTCCATTCTAAACAGCTACCTGAACACTTTAGAACACAGCACCATTTAGCTTAGAGGCCTGGAGGCATGAGAGCCCCATCATGTATTCTCAGTTGTCCAGTAAAAAGTTTTCTGGTGAAAAGGACTACACTCTGCACCTACTGGAGCTGTAGGAAAGCAGAGGACTCCAAATGAGTTCTCTAAAGAAGAAATAGAGAATTTTTTTCTTACAGAAAGCTGATATTGTGGAATTTTGAATCAGAACATGTCTCTCATTTTCTCCATCTCTTTACCTCCTGAAAGGTCATATAATAAGTATGAAGGCACATAAATGTATGAAGTTTTCTTTTTATTGCAGGATATAATGATACCATCTGCTACTGCAATGAGCGTGTCTTTCACTTTAGGTAGCTCTCTGTGAATTATTGTACTGTACATCTAATAGAAAGGCAGAGGATGTCTTTGTAATATATATATATTTTATTGCTTTTCCTTCAAGGACCTTACACAGCATTGCACAGAATAATTTATTAAACTTGACAGCTCTTGTGTGGTATCACGTATCTTAACTATATATGGAGAAATTCATGCATTGAGTTTCCTAAATATTTTTGTTTTCATGTTTAACTTCTCTTTAGCCATGTATGTTTTTACATCTTGATTAAGTTATGTCTCTTATTAACTAGCACAGTATTATAGTTTTATAACTTGATTTAAAATGGTATGATGTTTTTACCAAAATGTTAATGACAGCATTGGTCCTGCTGTGTGTATCAAAATGAATTCAAGGTTTGATGAAAGATGAATTCTCAAGAGCTTTTAATGCCAAGGGAGGGCTGTTATTACTGGTTTGCATTAAGAAATAAAGTACTGATCTTGATTAGTGTTTCCTCTTAACTATAGCCCAGTAGTTGGTTATCTCAATACCACATGGTAGTATTTCTGATGGGCAACCTGAACTGTAAAATTATTTTGAAGTTGCTTTTTCTTCATCTCTTGATGTATACCACTAATGTGAAATTTGCCAGAAAATGCTTGAAACTGGTTTTAGAAATTCAAATGTTGCAAAAGGCAACATTGCAAAACTAGCAATATAACTGAGGGATTTAAAAAACTTTTTCACTTCCAGTGTTAGAAATGAACAGGTTGTTTTCGTATAAAGAAGATGCTTTTCTTTTAATAAAGAAGATACTAAACTTTTATCTTGGTAAATAACATAACACAGAGATATTCATGAAAAGGAACTAAATTTACTCTGAACAACTAACATGGAACTGGGCAAGTACTGCAACACTTTTTTCAGGAATCCTTACTCAGAAATTCTAACCAAGCCATTTTAAGTTAAATGACCTACTTTGCCTTGTCCTCTCTTTGTTCTTGCTTTCTTCTATACCTTTTCCACCAAATTTCCTTGCTGTTGGTGACTGCAAGTGAAGTATTTGAAGGCAGGTATAATAAGAAAGTTAATTTAATATTGGTACTCACAGGAGATAAAAGCTAAGATTTCACTGCCCCCATACCCACATCCTTTTAAATGTTGCTTGTTAATAATGAGCCCTCCCTATTTGAGGGGAAGGCCTCATCCTGTGTAAGTTAGGAATAAAATCAGTAATGAATGTAATCTCAAATAACACTTGGAAGAAGAATACATATTCGTACATATCATTTTGCTGATTCACCTGCAGACATGTTGCAGAGCATTCAGACTTTGGGGAGAAGAGTAGTGAAAAAAACATCTGTCATGAGGAATTTTCTTTTGGACTATTGTCTGTTGGTTTTACTTCTTTTTGTGAGATCGCCTTTTTCTTGTGGAACAATGTTAGTGGCTGGAAGAAAATGTACTGTTACTTGACTTGGAAAACAGAATTATCAGATTCCATTTGGTAATGAAGAGCTCCTACTAAAACAAAAGCAATTTTCTACCATACATCAGAGAGGGAATTTGAATGTAATCACTTTGCCCAAAGGAATATTGTGTAAGCATTCTTTGCTCAGGAATCTAGTTGCACAGTACTTCTACTGCATGTCTCAGGATAACATTGCAAATTAAAATGTTTGCATTTGTAAATGAAAAACTGACTATGCTTTAATACTCCATGATCCAGATCCCCAAGAGCATCCACATGCTCTTTATCAGACTCACATGAGTTTTAGGATGTTGTTAATGAGGTGCTCTTTTTGTGTGAGTGTAATTTTTAGTATTCATATTTGTTTCAAAATTAGCTGCCGTATAAAGCTTCAGTGCCACTTAATGATAGTCAGTCCTGACCCTTTTAAGTATGGGTAGATGGCATATGCTGGAATAGGAACATATGCCATTCTGCATTTCTGAACACAACAAAAATCTTATTAAGCTTCCCTAAAGTATCCCTGTCTATAACAGTTTGGCATCCTGTTCCAGTACAGCAGTAAACAACCCCACTTGTTATCATTGCTGGTTCATGCTGGTGGCTTTGTCATTGTGATCCTCTTATGTGATCCCTGATGATTTTTCCTGGCTCTCAATATTTATTTATATTTATTCCTTTAGAGCAAAGAAATAACACTTCAAAAATATGCTGTTGATATTCTAAATACACTGAGTATACTCAAACTGGAATGTGGATACCAACCCAAAAGGTATCACATAGGTGGTTACTTATCTGCTCTCAGTCATTGTCCCCAGTGAGACCTTTCTCATTAAACTTATAAGAGGATGAATTCAAGCTTGATTGCACCTGTTGCTGGAGATAGAGGCATCCACATTTCTGTGAGAATAAATGCAGTTAGTTTTTCCCTGAAGATGCCAACTTAGAAGGGGTGTTTTACTCTCAAGACACAGATTACAACTGCCCAGTTCCTAAGCAAGGAAATCTGCTTTTAAGTCACCAGATGTGGAATTCATGTGAGCAGAAGAACAATCATTGACCCAAAGTCAAAATACAACAAAAAGTCTGCTTTGGTTGCAGTAATTACAGTTCTTTGAAATCTTGACCAGACAGATTCCATAGTCCACTCTTCTTTTTTATGATTATTATATTCCTCCACTCATTGTGGAGTCTGTGTTAGGAGAAGAAATGAAAGACAATTACAGTCATTCTTATATGGCTCAGAAAGATTTTTTTTTTAAATGAATAGCAGCCAGATGGATGCTGTTAGCTACAGCAATAGTATGTGTAACTCCCACAAGTAGAAGCATATATGTGTGAGAAGATAGGAGAGAAAATAGCTGTCATAGAAAACAGGGGGGAAAAAGCAAAAAATCAGCTCAGTGATCTGGCTGGCCTTTATTTTGATGACTGTGGTGATTGATGGCAGTTTATGCTGTAAATTCAATGTCTTGAAGGAATCATACTGAAACTTTATTTACCTACATATATTAAGCCTCCTCTCCACCATCAAAAAAAAAAAATTTTTTCCTTTCATTCCTTTTTCAATGTAATTTATTTCTCTTTAAGAGGCAAAAATCAGAGCACGTATTGAAACAGTGTTTGACTAGACACTGAAATTATACATAACATCAGCAGCCTGAATTTACTGTGTAATGGAGTCAAGTGCATTAAAAGCTCTAAGATCTTTGCTTCTTACTGGCAAGAGTCACCACAGGTGACTCAGTCAGTGACATAGCTCTCATTCCAGCAGGTAAATGGACATTAACTATGTCATCTTGTTCTCCTGCTAGTCTTCAATTAATGTGGCAACATTGCAAAAAGCACACAAATCGCCCATTAAACTAATTTTTTATTGATGGTATTTGCTTGCTGAGTACAGCACATCAATTTACCTTCTTTCTTCACCAATTCACAGTAGCAGAAGTAGTGGAAGAATCACAGGTACTGCATGTATGTCAAGAAATTGCATAGAAAGAAAGTTGGAGCAAGCAGACCTGGTTTTAGATCTGGCTCTAGCTTAAATAATACAATATTGCTCTAAGATGTGTGAGACTTAACACTGTTTTCTGTGACATTTTCTACACACTAGAAATTGTTAATAACTCATGTTATTTGCTTCTCTTTTCAATGATCTACAAAAGCAAGGAAGGGGGTTCCCTTTGGTTTTATCTATGTTAGCAAGCAGAAGAAAGCCAAGTGGCTTGCAGGTGGCTGATAACCTGAGTTATCAGCACTCTCAGTCATGACCCATATTGCTTATGATATATTTAATAGGTTCTGTCAACTTGAGAGATTTTAACTAAACAAAGGAGAGAAACAAAAGCCTGTCACTTGATACTTTATCATCATTTTCACTAACACAGGTGAAATGGTGCAGTGATATAATGAGGACATAAACAAATTACACTAAGAGGTTTAAATTTTCCTCACAACAAATCGGTGCAATTTGGGACTATTTTAAATATAAGAGCTCAGTACAGGTCATGGGTAGCTCAGCGTGAAATGGTTGGAAGAACCTGCAGAAGACGCCGTGCCAAACTTAAAATGTTGACCAAAACTATTTTTCCATGGTCTGTCATGTTCTCTGAAGGCAAATGGCACAATCTCAAAGGCTTCTCATATAGGGCTGCTGCTGACTGACCCTTTTGCCTGCCTCCTCACACAGCAGATCATTCTGCTATGTTATAGGTATGACTCTAAGGCCAGTGGGGTTATTAGTGCCTTCTTATCTCCACATTGGGATTACTCATACGCTAAAGGCCTTTAGGTCCACTAGAAAATTTTTGGAAATTAAAGGTCATTGGTAAAAGTGTATATTCATTATTTTGGTGTCATTTTTTTGAAAAATAATTCTGTTCATTTGTACTTATATTTCTCAAAATTCATGTGATTAATATATCAGGAGAGATTTCCATTAACTTTGGAGGTTATCTTTCATGGTAAGAATCACCTGACATCACTATTGTATTTTATTACAAAGGAAATTATTATTCTTCTACTTGACAGAAAACATGTGACATATAATGACAGGTTCTCCTAAGGGGTAGGGAGCTGTTCTGTGTTTTTGTCGGGTTCACACAGTGGTATTTAAAAGTACTTCTTGAAAATACTGGCAGTGAATGAAAGATTTGATAGTATTATCCTATGAGCACATAACTGGAAATGCTGAGTTCTGGTCCTGGCCCAAGTGATTGATTTGTGTGTAGATTTGAGCAGTTTCTCTGTTTTCTAAAACAGAGGTAATAGAACTTACAGATCAACCTTACCAGGAGGGCTGAGAAATGCTTGCAAAGCATTTTGGACATCACTGCCATGATATAACTTATAAGTATCAATATATATCACTACATTGGGGCAATAATGTGTGATACATAAACCGAGCTTGAAAATACTTTAAAGAGAGTCTAATGCTAGAGAAAGCCCACCTGGCTTGGCCTAGAAAGGCTGCAAATACAGAAACACCACACATATGAGGACTGTAGCCTTAGATTCTCTTTAATATGTCAGAGATTTTGGATGATACTATAAAGTAGCAAAACATGAATACATACTGGGATTTTCTTTAGGTATTTTTACATACATAATTAATTACTTGATTTTTTCTTGGGAATTATGGTTTAAATTATAAGCGGATTTATCTTGAGTAAAATGCTAAAGAGTTAGAAAATTACCATTTTAGAAGTTTTCCTGCCAGTTACTTTTCAATTACAGGATCAGTTGACATACATCTCCTGTGATTTATTTTTTTTAGGAAAAATAAATAGAAAAATACTTTCATTTATAGATCACACACATGTTTTGAGCACTCACTGGTAATTAAAACACACTTTCAGTCTAGAGCACTTAAAAACTTTGGTCCTGCGTTGACCACAGAGACCATGCAACTGTCGTGAGAGGTGGATGTGTTCAGCATCACATTTACCTTACTGCAAGTAGCTGATTCTATTTTCAATCTTTTCCCAGGTTCTGTAGCCTGTTTCATTGACTAAAGTGCTTGAGGAGAGCAGTTTGGTCAAAAATTTTATGGTGTCTGCTTCTGATATCTAGGTATGGAATGGATATCAGGTGCATTAATGAAGCCTGAATCCTGAGCCTGGGCCCTTGGGGAGTTTGAGGATTTTCTTTTTTAACACATCTGTGACCTGACACAGATTTCTGAAGTAAACTACAGTTGAGATGTCTCCTTTGCCAGCTAAATGGAAGTGTTGGAGAGTGCTTGGTTTGTAGTGGCGTGAGTGACCTACAGCCCAGGGCATCTTTTATGCCCATTTCTGAATCTATAGATGGGCATCTGTAGTAAAAGTCTGTGAACTGAGACAGGAGTACTGGAAAAGCAGAAGCAAGAGATACTTCATGTGATGCTGCCTTGTGATTCACTCCATTCCCCCTAATTTCCCTTTTAAATCTATAGACTAACAGAACAAGAGTTGTTTGGTAGATGGAAAATTGCAGATTTCCCCAAAAGGTTATGAAAAAGGCATCTACAAATACACTTAAGGCATCTGCAAATATACTGAGTCAGTGACACGGGGGACCCTAGAAAAGATACTGTTGTCTCTTCAGCAGAAGCAAGTTTCTGCAGCCCTGGAACATCAGAAAGCAGGAATATAATTAATAGGGTCAGTCACAATAGCAGATTGAAGCAATTTAGAGGACTGCTGAGACAATGAGCGGGTATCAGAAAGAATAATGCAGGTAGAGTGAGTTTGTGGAGTGAGTTTGTGTGCAGGTTTGGAAGAAAGTTTGAAGAGCTCATTTTTTATAGCTTTAGGAACAGGAATCCAAATGCAAGATGAAAATAATCTTGAATGATGTCATGAAAGATGATATGGGCAGTGACAGCAGTAAAGGGTATTTGGCCTAAGTCCAGCAGGACTGAGTTCAGTCGTACCTTGTGTTAATTTTTTTCTTGGAAGGGCACTAGTGCCCAGGTGGTTCAGGCCCAGCACACTGCTCTGCCTTATGCTCCTGAGGAAAAACAGGAGAGAGGAGCCAGAGTCTCCAGCTAAGAGGAGCATGTGGCCAAATCAGGACCTTCAGTCATAGAGAGAGCTCCAGAGTGACTGGAGTTTCTTCATCCTTTTCTGTAGGACTGTACACTCATTTTCACTGTCATCTTCTCTGCCTAATCCCCTTCATTCTCTTTCCTATCTATGTACATTTCCTCTTTATCCCTTTATCTCCTTCCCAGTCCTGCCTAGCTATAAATCCTGACATTAGGAATTTATGTTTTCATTCTCCTCATGTGTTAGATCTTTCACCCATCTTATGTCTCATGTTTTCTTGTGTTGTAAACTCTTTGTATGCTACAATCCGGCATCTCCTGCTGTGTTAAACAAGTAAACAGTGCTGCTGCTACGTTGCAACTCTTGTTTGGGCTGCTTTGGGTTTAACAGACTGATTACCTAAATTTTACTGCCCTGAATCAAAGTGGAACAGTTTCAGTTATGGTCTAAATCAAATCAAGGTGAACCCAGAAGTCGCTTTCATCAATAATGTACTCTAAAATAAAAGCTACACTAAAATGCTTGAGTCTTTTTGTTGGCAACAATTAAATCCTTTTATGCTGTAGATCTCTGTGGCTTTTTACGTTGATAAGTTTTGGGTTTTTTTGGTTTTAATTTTCTGTTAGTAATGAACATTTTGCTTAAGAGTAATTAAGATAGTTAAATCATGGGTTTTTGTTTAGGATTAACAGGGTAAGAACCAAATGCGAATTTGATGTGTTCAATTTGAAAATATCAGTGTGCAGCAAGGAGCAATTGTATCAAACATGTCTGGATTTTCCTCATATGCATCTGCACAATTTTCCATGAGGTAACTTGAAAGTTACATCATTGGAGCTGAAAAGAAATTGTGGTGAGAAAACGAGCAGATTCCTTGCCACCTTTAATAACTGTTGGTTTATTTGAATTGCAGGCACTTTTCCTGTCTATCTTCTAAATATATGTGCCCTGGTGTTCCAGCAGTTATGAGCACATTGTTGGCCAATATAAATGCTTTCTATGCTCATACCACAGCAGCAACTAATGTATCTGCCTCAGATCGCTTTGCTGCTACTAACTTTGGGGTAAGTGGACTTTCTTTTTTAATAGAATTCTAGTCTTCTCTTTTTTTTTTTTTTTTGAGGCTGATATCAAAGGTATTTTTGATTTAATAGTTTTCATAAAATACCGTTTATTGACATAAAATATTAATCATAATTGAAATTTATTAAACACAAATTACAGTTGTTTGAAGTAGTGATAGAGGTACTAGTACTCTTCTCCAGTATTAGAATAGTAGAGACATTATGAATTTTAGGATTTTCAAGACAACATTATGAAATTATACATTTGGATGAGTAAACCAAGAAAGACTTAATTTTGGCTTTGCTTTTGTCTTCCCATCAGAAGTCAGAAACATAATTATCAGATTATCATCAGTAAATAAATGCAATTCCTGCCTGGAAAAATGTGTAAATTTTTAGTTTTGCAAAGAATATTTGCTCTGTATGCTAAAACAAGTTTCGGGTTGTAACAAACAGTGTATTAAGAATAGCACACTTTTATCATACAGGGCCTCAAATACATGAAATTAAACATTAGTTTGTATTTCCTGAACACGTACCTTTGAGATAGAACTTATGTCCCTAAATTCACTTTGTGTAGTAAACACACCAAAGATTGATTTCCATTATTATTACTGAATTCTGAATATGCTCAGGATCTGATGCTACTGCTTACAACCATAAATAGTCCAACAGTTAGTTCTAAATACTCCTAAAGTAGTAGTGACAATATATTTTGAAATTTAAGAGATGTCATAAGCCAGTAAAAAAATTTTTTAAGAATTCAGTTTTCATTATTTTCAAGTCCACACAGTAATTTTTTAAGAAATATTTACTCTCAGCATCAATTGATTTTTCTTTTTTCAGCCTGATGGAAATGCCCACATATAAATTGAGTCAGAGCTGGGTCTTTAGTTTGGAGATAGCTTGTTCTTGAACTGGAACCCTGTCTCCTGCTGCTAGAGATTTGCTTTGAAAGAGGAATATTAACCTGGCTCCTTCACTTTAAAGGAAAACATTTTATGGTCAAAAATCGATATTAGAACATCTGTGATTCGATTGTTGTATTACCATGACAGTACAATATTTCTTTGTTCTTACTCAGGTTTTCCTTTTAGAGCTGATTGATGGGGTTTTATGGAATGACTCTATACTGTTGTTGAAATCAGGCTTCTCTTTCAATGTTCAAGCTTTATTAGACCTTTGAGTTTGATGCAACTTTTGAAATTTAGAATGTTTCTGCTGTATTTTTTATTCTTTTTTTTTTCCATTTTTCTAATGATCAGAACTACTTTTATCCTCAGAGATTAAGTCCTTTCTCTGATGTTAATGCCAGTTTAACTTTGACGCAATTCCAATCCAATTCATAGTTCAACAGATGGGTGGAAAAAGAGTAGTAAGCATCACTAATAGAGATTTGGAGCTCTTTTTTCAGACAATTGACTTATAGGCAAAATATTAGATTATTTTTCTCTCTTGGGTCAAAAGGCATTTGTTAGTGAATAGCTGCATATCATTCATCAAAAAGAACATCTCAAATTCAAGTCCTCAGGCTACAGCTGGGAATGATTTGGCTGACTGAATATTTCAGTACAGATTTATAACATGACAAAAAGTTCCCTTTTGATTGATCCCTTAAGGGAACTGTGCCAAATTAGTGGCTCTTGGTGTAGGTTAGTACTCCACTGATGAGAGACAGTGCACAAAGACTATTTTCAAATTACTGCTGATCATATTCGGGGGAGGGTGTGGATACAATCAGTTCATCCTGAGAGGTATCAGATCTTGCTACTTCCAGAAGTCTGCTGCTTTCACATAGGCTGGCGAGGATTTCTGCACACTTTTGTGCAGCAGACTATGGAATATGTTCTAATATGGTACTTAGAAACTCTCATTAGTGTTACTACTCAACTGGATATCTCACAGCAAAATATTTTCACTGCACCTTCACCTGTCATGATAACAATTTAATCTCCACATTTGAGACAGAAAACTATGACAGCACAGTATTAGTATTACTTAGCTTATTCGTACAAAAGTCACTGTTTCTGAAGTATAATTTTCAGTCATACTTTTATGCCAAATTCTACTGTAAATGAGCGTAATTTCTCACTCATTAAAGAGAGGGGGAAGTGCTTTCTTCAAGAGTGTAAGCATATATGAAACAACGGAAAGCAAACTGATTTTCAATTAAGTTAAAAGTGAAAAGCAGCTTTCTGAAACCCCACCAGTTACAGGAACCTGCAAAATCTATTCTTGTTTTCTTTTTCCAGAGAGAAAAGTTCATAAAACTGCTGGATCAATTGCACAATTCTCTGAGGATTGATTTATCCAAATACAGGGTATGTACAATGTATTCTGTCTAGAGCTGACATGAGACGCCAAATTCTTTGGAACAAAAATTTACAGAATTCAAGCAGTTTAACAATAATATTTTTTCTAATTTGAAAAAAAAAAAAAAAAAAAAGGGAAAAAAAAGGGGGGGGGGGGGGAAGAAAGAAAATAAAAACTTAGTAATTTTTTTCCAAAAGGTAAGAATGGGTCAAGGGATGAGCAGACATTCAAGAAAGAGTATGATTCAACAACTTTGATTAAATTAGTCTATAACTAGTCTATAATTAAGTTAATTCATCTGGGAATTATCTTCACTGACTCAGGTATTGCAAAGTGCAGTTCCTGCTGTATTTATTTGAGAGACTCAGACTGACGTCTTTGCTACAACCTCCATCCTAAGATTCCAGTAATGTTGAAAAAGACTTGTCTTCGCATTTTTCTACGTGATAGGAATTTCAGTTTCTTCTTTGTCTCATGGAATCTCTTTCCACTGAGGTGTGCTCCAAAGCCAGCCCTCCAGCAAAGCAGGCACTGGGTACCTGCCAGGTACCACACAGTTCTGAACCCCCTCTCCTTTTCTGTTCCACTGGATCATGAAACTTTTGGAGAACACATGAGCAGTTAGGGCTCCATCAGCCACGGCTCTCTCAGCTTCTAGGAATGACAGCCTCCAAGTCAAGGATTTCTCTGTTCATCTGGCCTGCTTTCTAAAACTGGAGGAGAAATGGAATATTTAAAGGCATTAGAGGGAGTAGAGGTTGCACATACTCAGTTTTTAAGACCATGTCCTTTGTGCAGCAATATTCATTGCAATACCTTTTAATTTTGAGGAATGCTATCCAGATAATATCATAGCATGAGGTTGTTTGGCCCATGTTGCATTAGTAGGAACCCATTTAAATAACACTACTTCCCATCAGTCTGTTAACCCAGAGATCATAGCAAAAATTATATGTATTATTTCTTCGCTAAGATTACTACTGCATTTATGCCCACAAGTGATGCATGTGCCTTGAAAACTGATAAATTATTTAAATTAGCAATAGTTTCCAGTCTTTTTGTAGTATTTTTTTACTCCATTCATGTTTTGGAAATATAACACTAGTTTGAATCTTGATATTACAAATATAGGAGCATTATAAAAAATGTTCCTAGTCATGTCAAAGGGATACTTGTCACTGACTTGCTCACAGGCAGAATTCAGGTAACATGGGAACACCTCTAATCCTTCCAAGCAGCATCTTAGTTTTCCTAGAGGGTTTTTAACTAGTTGTTCAAGGATCTTACCTGTAACCAGAATTTTACACTCTTCCTCTCTTCCTGATTCACCAGGATAATTTTCCTGCCAGCAATTCTGAAAGACTCCAGGATCTTAAATCAACTGTGGACCTGCTTACCAGCATTACTTTTTTTCGGATGAAGGTATTGTCCTTTATTTGCACAATGACTCCAGATTAAAAAAAAAAAAATTAAAAGCTGTTACCTTTTATTTTCCAGGACAATCATACTCTAGTTAATATTTTAATCAATCAATCTGCTTTGATTTTAATTTAAATCTTTCAGGTTACTGATGATCATTGAAGGAAAGTAATTTTATTCATACTTTGTATTCACAATGTGATAAAAACCATTATTTAAAAAATAAACAACTGTATTTTCCTTTTTTAACTATATTGTTACATCTCCTGAAGAAAACAAACATCTTTTTAATAAGTTTAAAATTAAACCACATAAAGCAAACTCAGTTAAACTCCTTAGGAACATGTATCATATAGAATAATGTTTTCTTAGTAATATCATAAAATCAGAAGTCAAACAGCAAAATAGGTCTGATAACTCTATTTGCCTTAGTAACTCCAAAGGTTGATATCTAAGTGAATGGAATGATACTTATTAATGTTACTGAATGAAAAAACAGAAACACAAAACAACAGTTGTTGTAATAGTATGTGATTTTACTGTATTAGGCACTACACAAAAAGAATTAAAATAATCCCTTAAGTTAAAGTTGAAATTAATGTATCCTAAAGTGGAGGGAAAAGCTGAACCTTTTGCTCTAAAAATTAAAGTGCTATTTGGCTGATATTCAGAGGAAAGCATGTAATTATATGGTTTAATATTTCCTAAATAATCAAAGAACTTTCAGGATGCAAACCCTAAGATGTAAATGTGTAAACCCTGGCGTCTCTTTCAACATATGAGTAATTTCATTCAAATAAAACTTAGCGATACAATCTGCTTGCCTAACTTAAGCATGTGTTTTAATGCATTTTTGAACTAAGATCATCTTAAGTCAAAACAATTTTAATTTTTTTTTATTTTATTCTATTTCAAAGCTTTTCATCCTTTATGACAGAACTATGTTCAGTGATTGGATTTGCTGTGTTCCATATAATTCTGACATTCTACCATTTACCAAATATTTTATTAGGTCCTGGAATTGCAGAGCCCACCTCGAGCCAGTACTGTGGTGAAAGACTGTGTAAGAGCTTGCCTGGACTCAACTTATAAATATATTTTTGACAATTGCTATGATCTCTACTCCCAATTAGTGGATCAGGTAAGGTCAATATGAACTCGTTTCTTGCTCATTCATTATTGTTAGTTTACCTTAAGTGAATAGAAAGCCTTCCACTGTTCCTTCATATCAAAGCTCTTAGGTTGTTTTCATTTTATTTATGGTTGAAGGAGCAATATATTATAAATACACCCACAGACAGCTATAAACTCGAAAATATTTACCAAGCTGAGTTTCAAAACAAGCATGTTAACTCATAATTGAGTCATCGCATCAAATATGACTGTAAAATTGTCCAGTGGTTTTAGGGAAGATGACATTAGATTGATTACTTTTCATTCAGGATCTGTAACTGGAAAATAGTTTTTGAAGATCTAATATTTTACTTAAGCAGCTTTAGAAAAAAAAATATTTTAATTTGCTGAAAATTATATACTGTCTTTCCAGCCTTATATTTTAACACATATGATGCATACTTGGATCCAAGCTTTAGTAACAACTTTAAGAAAGCAGATGATAATTCTAAAACAATTCTTAATATTAGTCTGTCAGGCTGAACTGTCAATGCAAAATAATTATAGCATTTGTTGTATTCCAAATGTGATTCAAAATCTTTGAGAATGTTGCTTTTTTTTTTCCTACTATATGGCCAGAGTTCATTCTATAACATTAAAATTAAGAACTGTCTTAAATCACTGCTTTATCACATTACCTCTTGTTTCTTGAATTTTCTTTCTGGATGGTACACTGAAAAAATGGTATTACAGTGACTATTCCATCCTTGAATAGGATTATTTGTTTGACAAAAGCACATTTTCTGTGTGGTATATAATTAACAGGAACACTCATACTATTGATATAAGACATCAAATTTCATCTGAAAGTACATTTTATTTGAATCCAAAATATTAATTACTGTATTTCAGGAAAGGTAGTATATGCTATTTATTCAACTTTTCTGAAACGAGAATTTATTTTCTAATGTTGGATTCCTGTTATGTGAGAAAACTTATCTGTAGCTTTGAACATATAAACTTCTCACCAGCAGCATGAGCACTCCACACCCTTAGTGCTCGTGGATGTGTTTATCCTACAACAGATTATATTATAAGCTGAGTAGGAGTATAAAGTAGTAGAAGGAGCAGCTTCAGGCATCACATCTATTTACATCACAAACTGCTCTGTTTTCTTGCTAATGTTTACTCTGCAGCAATTTGATCTTGTCTGTTAAATATAATATGAAGTGCTGCTACGCTGGGTATTACATAAGTCTGCAGTTCATCAGCAGATTCCAGCAATTTTAGTAAACAGCTAAAAGTGGTCTTACTTCTGCAAAGCGTTGCAACACCTGCAAAAGCTTATCTGTAGTCAAAAAATTCACTGCTTTTTTCTCTGAATTCATAAAACAGTTTAGCCTGTCTATTTTAAAAGATGGGTTTAAGATGCAGGGATATTATAGTCCTTCTGTTTGGTAGTGAATGTAAAGCACATTTAAGTGATGGTCCTCTACAAATTTCTTTTTTGAAGCAGGATAGGCAATGTCATTATATTATTTTTCTCTCACCCAACTCTACTTAAAGATAACTCCTTAATATAGGATAAAGACATCTACTTAAAGATATGAACTCCTGAAATAAAATAAATAAATAAATAAAAAATCCACAAGCATTCACTCAGTTGGAAAACTGAATTAACTGCATTTCACTGTATTTCTATGTTTCTTGTGTTCTTTTTCACAATATCTCCAGCAGGGGTGGTTTACATAGAAACATTAAGCAGACATGTGTCTATAGAGTTACAATCATTAGGAAGTGCAAGAAACTGCAGTGAAGATTTGTAAAAACCCCTGAATTTAAAATACAAATAAATAGATTGCATTCAAAATAATTAATTGCTAGCAGTAATCAAACAACAATCATATATAATCTTAATGCCAGACAAAACTTTGTTTTACAGCAGATGGGAGGCAATTCTGAGAAATATAATTACTCTAGCTTTAATAGAGAGATGAGTAAAATAATTCAAATTACTATGTGAATTCTGCATCAACTCTAGAGTTGTACAACTGTGTTCACCATTATCCTCTTACAGTTTCCTATCAATATAGCCACATGTACCTTTGCTTCTAGGAACAGCTGAGTATACAGCTTGTTCAAACCTATAGCTCTGGAGGTTTTCCAGTGAATCCAGGTGACTGGCTTGTGGTAGCACTGTTATAATAATGAAGCAGTAACCAATATTTTAATTAACATTTCATTAGCTTTGTGTCCAAACCCCTTAGTCCAACTACACCATATTCCACCCTTAAGCCTTCTTTATTACCCATTCTCCTATCTCTGCCTACCTCCCCATCAGATGAGGTCTCCTCCTCTCAGAGGCAGTTCATCCCACCGTGGAGGTGTAGCACAGGAGGCTCATGTTTTAGCTGCACAGCTGAGGTTTGAGCTGTGAGTGCTGAGAACTGAAATCAATGAATCCCAAAGCAACGAGAAATGGTTCATATGTAGGTCAGCACCTGCTCTCTCTCAGGGGAAAGCCTGGCAGCTGCTGTCCTGCCCAGGCCCACGGGGCGCTCAGGGTGTAGATCTCTGTGTAACTCATGTCAACCATCACCTGCCTTTGCTTTTGTCTGCAACCTGAAACTCTCAGAGATGTCTGCCACAGTATCTCTAGAAAATATGTTTAATGTCTGGGTGTGTGTCATTGTTTGATTTTTGGGGTGAAAATAGAATGATGAACGACGACCTTGCGGGTGCCCAGGCTGGAGTTTTGGGGAATTTATCACTATAAGGAGCACAACAAGTAAATTACAAAATATGCTCGGCAGCCTCTCTTTTTATTACCCTCTACCTTTGTGTCAGACACACAGTCACTGTTATAAAGCTAATGTCTTGCAGCAAAATATCACCCTGGGGAACAGCTATATTTCCTGGGGTGAAGCACTGCAAATGTTAGCAGTATGCAAAAATATCATACTACCGTTCCACACCAGAATACAAGGAACAGCTGATGGCAAAATACAAATGAGTACTACAGAGAGTAAAACATGACAGCCTGACAGTCTCACTGACATGTATATTACTGTCCTCATTGTTTGAGACAAAGCCCTCTGATGAGGAACTACCTAGTTCCTTTTGCAGCTGATGCAGTATTCTCTCTTTTTAATTAACACTGATCTGAGTGAAGTGTTTAGTCTCCCCATGTGGAAAAAAAAAATCTTGAAAAAGTAGTTTTGGAAGCACTTTGATAACTTGTTGACTCAAGTTACAGGAGAGGGGAACGAGATGATCTTTGATGTCCCTTCCAACCCAAACAATTCTATGATTGTATAATGATTCTATGAATAGGGATTCAGTTTCAAATAAGAAAACACTTTAGGAGTTAGGTACTGTGCAACAGCATTGCTCAGGGAAATTTCTCACAGGTTTTGAATGCATGTTGAGTGTCTGCAAATAGTTTCTGGTTTTCATTATTTTACGTACATAAAAACAGAAAAAGAAATAAAAATTATATAAAATTCTAAAAAGAGATGTGTGCGATATATAAATGTCTATATATGTGTATGTTTGATATATAATGCATATTTTATATCCCCTAGGGATTCTTAACATCTTCCAAATAAAGTAATATTAACTAAGTAGTTTAAAAATACAGAAGTAAAGTTAATATTTCGTCATCTAAGACTGATATATAAAATAGCCCTCTGTAGCCTCGTGCTAATCAGGGCTACTCTGCTGGTTTCCATTGGGTTTTCACTCTATCACTCTTTATATAGAAAATATTATATTCTGAAATGTAGCTTGGGGGATTAGACAGCCATAGATAAGTTTCTGATATCATAGGATTGGATTTATCAAAGTCACACAGATACTAACGTGTATTGATTGCACATAACATAACATAACAAAATAAAAACAAAGCAATATAAACCCAGACATTCATTCTACAAACTGTTAAAATCAATGATGAGAGAAGTTGAAAGGCCTGTGTACCTCAGATCAGCCTTTACAGATTCGTCTCAGGGTAATACAGATGTAGATTTTAATTCTGCTTCCCACCGTGCCTGCAGTTGCTTTCTCCACCTTCACTCAGTGTTTCAGAGTATAAAACATGTTTACTTGTCAACCGTTTACCCTTTTTTTTTACTTGAACTTGGAAAAATCCCTCTGCATTTGAACTGATATATATTTGAACATATATCCCTCTATATATGAACTGAATTCAGTTCATATATGCAAATACATACATATAGTCATATATATATATACACTCATATATATAGTAAAAGGAAGCTGAGAAAACATGGTTTAGTGCAAGTCAAGAATTTATTTTGATACACATCCTATGAAAAATTGCTATTACTTCCGCTTTCAGATTTTGGTATCTTCTGTGGCAAGACAAAGAGTTATAAATCACCTAGTTTAGATGTTACATTAAAAAAAAAACAAAACATAGAATCTGCACTGTTTCCTGTGTTTGTAAATCTTTAGTGAATAACATGACTTTTCTCTAAAGATATTTTTCTTATTGGGTGTTTCCTACAGCTTTAGAGTGATCCTAAATACAAGAAGTAGCCAAGTCAATTAACACGAGTGTATAAAAACCTGTATTGACATGTCTTGATGGTAAGACATCATCTGGTATTATTGTCTGTTTGATCTGCCAGCAGAAGCCTCTCAGACTTCTGTTTTGCCTTTGGTCAGTCAGTTGTTGAGCTTTTAAGTACAAGACATCTTATGGCATTTCATGGATCTGTGCATGGGACAACACTACCTCCCAAGTGATGTCAAGATATTTTAAGTGGTTTCACAAAAACAAAAGACAGGACACTTCACAAAATGATTCTTTTTAAAAGTCAAGAATCATGAATAGCTTCTGTTTAATTAATGATTTTGTCATCTTGATATATTGAGATTTTCTCTTCCTCTTGACCTTTGCAGTTTTATTTTTAAAAAATTCTCAGTCTTGTTAATATCGTCTGCAATGATACGCAGCATTTAGTGGCTTATATATCTTCTCACTGTATTTGTGCCAACATGGTACTAATTGGGTATATCAGGTATTAGTTCGTATTCTTATACTGGCAGTTTCTTCTAATGAATATAACTAGAGTGAAAAAAGACTGTTACTATTACCAAGATAAGCTTTTTCCACTTAATAGGCCACACAGTTAACTGTGGTGATACTTCAGAAATTCGATCTGTAAGCTATTGTAAGTGTATATTTTGCCTCTGTACAACCTAATCTAATCTTGGCATTTTAAAGCCCCTTTACACAACTTCTGCATAGCCTGTAAATACTCTGTACTATGTAGATGTGTATGGTATTATTTTCTAAAGGGAGAGGATGCATATCATGGAGAATTGGTTGGATGTGGGACTAAATCACAGGATCGAGACATGAGTTATGATCACAGTTACAAAATTAGAGGAGATAATTGCTTGGTTTTTCAGTTTTTTGAGATCACAGTGAAGGAAAAACTTGCTCTTTTATCTAGTAAAAACCATGTAAAACAAATAACAATGCTAACTATACTAACAATTCTTACTGACTGTTCACAACACACTGATGATGAATCCATGTCACCAAAGCTGCCTTCAGCAAAGCAGTTTGGAAATCAAACTTGCAGTGCCTCTAAAAAGTGTTTCATTTAGTTATGAAAATGTTAAAATGCAAGTATAATTATATGATGTTGTACCCCCACTCACTTCTACAGTGTTATGCTGTTTACTGTTCCTTTCAGTCACGTCAATAGAAACATTTTGAAATCAAACACACTACACCACTGAAAATTTTTTTTCTATGTGAAAATAGCTTGTTCTCAAGTTATTTTTTATTCTAAAATGGAACTTTCTTCTGTTGTTTTTTCAACCCTGCAACTACTCAATGCAATCAGATTTCCAGCATTGTTTTACCCCATTATAATGGCACTGCACCAAACCTGCCAGAATTGGAGAAGCATTTGGACAATGCTGTCAGACATGAGGTGTGATTTTTTTTGGGGTTGCCCTGCACAAGGCCAGGAGTTGGACTCAATGATCCTTGTGGGTCCCTTCCAGCTCAAGGTGTTCTATGTTTCTATAATGCTTCCATGAAGGTATCTGTTGCTAGAAACCACATAAAACAAATAACAATGCCAACTATGCTAACAGTGTAAAAACAGCTTGAACGATTCTGAGTGTTTCTAATACACTAGTTAGACTTTAGGATAAAGAATTGAAATTACCGCTGGGCATGGGCAGAGTATGCACTTTTATTTCAAGGCACACAACTCCATCTGTTAATGTGAGACTATTTTAAAAATACCTTCTCTGGGGCTTTTGAAAGGACCATATTGATTTTTGAGAGATATATGTTTCAGAGAATTTTTGTAGAAAAAGCCTCCTTGTGCAACTACTACTTTGTAAATTAGTTACTTTTTACTATCTCTCTTAAAAAAATGGATTTCACATTCTGTGATTCACATTCACAGTCATGAAAAGCTCTCTAAGCTACATGTCACTCACTGCAAGTTGTTTTCTGTGAAATATAGTTTTTGTATAAGATGCTGAGATAAATGTGAAGTGGCTTTGTCCTCTACAACTGCCTTTCAGTTTCTTTGATTTAAACATGTACAAACCTCTCAGAAAAAGATGGTATATCAGACATAAATCTTTGATATAGAAACAAGGCCTTCTAATAAAAAATATAGTGTACACCAATGAAAACCCTTGTGAGTGACATTAATGCTCCAATGTTCATTTCTGTTTTGAAAAGCACTCTCCTTAGAATGTGTTTTTAATTGCCAGTGACACCAGGCCCATCCTCCCTTGTACCTGAACTTTATTTCAGTTGCTTTAGACATTTGAAGTGGTACCATTTGTAGTGCAACTGAGTATGTAGCTGTGTGATTAATGACACTTTTCTAAAATATTCCACAGTGGCCACAGAAACAATTTCAATTAAGTGCTGTTGAAATTCCCTTTCTACCATTTTAAATGCCGTTAATAGATAAAAGTTAATTGAGGTTAAAATTACATTTAATTAATTCACCATGATGCTGATACAGTGTTATGTCTATTCAAAAAGATACAGGATCCATTGAAGTGGTCATATATGGACTAGGAATGAAAAGTACAGGGAATATATGTTTAAATTTGCAGGATCATAGGCATATGTTCTTTATGACTTACTAGCTGAGACCCCTTTCTATCTCAGACAGCTGTGTAGAAGAGGCAGAAATTATGTGTGTATGTATGTGTGTATCCATACAGAGCTAGAAATATTTATTTTCATTTTTGGGTCTCTGCAGTGAAGTTATTTATTGGACATTAGTAAGGAATCTGACCCTTCTGTCAAGCAAAGAACTACAAAATACTTTGTCTATGAAATTGTAGGCTAAGAATTCATAAATGAAAACTGTAGGTGCAAAATCTAGCTGTAAGTCCACATTTCAGTTAAACTAAAAAATACAAAATTCCCAATAAAATAAAGGGAAATGTAACTGCTTCTGCATTTAGACCATACAGCATAGCAGCTGTTAGGCTGAATATTCTCAGAGTATAATTCAAAACAAAACATTAAATACTCTTCAGCATTGATTTGTTCCTTATTGTGTAGAGTATAAGTTCTGCCTCAGCAGAAAATTTTACCTGCACTCTGTTTCAGCACAACAAAGAATTTAAGAATGTACTTAATTAAAGTGTAGACATACACCAAAAATAAAGCCTTTATTGATCTTCTTTGCTGATATGACAGTCTTTGCACTATGTTTTTTTAATATTTGTCCACAGCCAAGTACAGTACTCCATAAAATCTACTCTGAGTTGGATAACCAGTCTTCTTCTAAAATTTCTGATGATTCTTAGCTTGTCACACTTCCTGGCCAAGTAACAGTCTGTAGGTGAAAATCCATAATATTTTTTTCTAATTTCTCTAGTAAAAATATATTCAATCTTGTTTTAACAGAGTAAGAAACAAGAAGTTCCTAAAGAAGAACAGGGACCAACAACAAAGAATTTGGATTTCTGGGCACAGCTTATTACTCTGATGGTCACCATTATAGATGAAGATAAAACAGCATACACACCAATCTTGAACCAGTAAGTAATTAATTCCTCATGAAAAATTAAGAATCATGGATTTATTAAAATAAGGACAGGAAATACACTTGAATCAGGACTTGTAATTTTAAATAGAATCTAGCTAGAGGGTTTTATGCAGAATATAACATTGGCATAGCTTGATAAAAACTTAGTGGTCTGATAATGGAAAGAGAATCTTTTGTTTTGGGAACACTAAAGACAGGTGGTATATGAACCATCCCAAAAAGCTGAGTAGCAAAATACCATGCAAGAGAACAAAATGGGTAGAAGGGAAAGTTCAGTAAAAAGGTGTGATGACATTAATGTTGTTATAGTATCTTTATGCACATAGTGTTCAAATCACGCTGAGAGTCTTTTGGGTATGAGTTTTAGGGATTTATTTGTATCAAAATAATGAACTTCACAAAAAGAACCTCTCCAAATTTACAATTGCCTGGGGAGAAAACCTAACCACACTGACTTGAAAATTCATAAAATGGAGAGCAATATCCTAGAGATGGAAGCTGACTACTCAGAATTGACAATGTAACAGGTGAGGGAGGTACAATCAATAACCAAGACAAGTCAAATAACTTAAGGTTGATGCAGTAGTAGAAAAGAGAGAGCCAATCAATAAATATAGAAGGAGGAGACAGAGTGCTGGGTTTGAACACAAAATATATAGGAGTGCAAAGGAACATGTTTCACATCTTACAGCTGCAGAAACTGGCATAGCACTAATTGAAATGCAACGTGATGAGGCCCCAGGGAAATGTTTTAGCTCCTTTAGCTCTTCAGAGCTGTTTTACAGAGAGACAGAAAATCTGGGCACAGTCTGGCTGTAATGACTTATGCAAAAGTTAAAATTGAAACCTACAGCTGTATTATGACAGAACAAGTAATAGAGGTGTCTGTGGCTGCATTTAACTGAATGGTCTGAAGGGGAGCAGGAATAAGCTTGTTTCTTTCAGCCAGTATAGTGTAGATACTGAAGGCACTCTGCATATTGAGATGTGTTTATTTGTTGATGTGTTTATTTGGACTTGAAATATAATCAACAAAGAAACCTCTTGGAAGATATTTATTTGCCTTCTGATTTTTACAATTTAGTGTGAAGTTCCTCCATTAACTTTTTGTCTGACAGCTGTGTAACAAATACACTTATTATAAAACATGTAACTGAAACAAATACACACATGCATTTCATTTCAGTCTCTTCATTGAAATTAAACAAGTGTAATTGGGGGCTAATTATCTTAAAAAGTTGTTCTAGCTATATTTTTATACAAATGCGAGGGAGAAAGTAAAGGGATAAATAACAAAGTTCTAAGGGGATTAGTAGGTTCCCTAAAGTACAGCTGAGTGATTGTGTAAGATGTGAAAAGAGAATCAGGAGTGGACGGAATTGGGGCAGTTCAAGGGAGAGAGCTGGTGTCTCTGACTTCTCTCCCATTTTCACTGTTGTTTTGTAAGTGGAAGAGTGAGCACAGGGAATAAAATGTCTTTGAGAAGTAGGAGACATGAGGAGCAAAAGATGAAGAGGCTGTGAGGGGAAAAAAATTGCAAAACTATTCAGTTGCTTTGGATACCTTTTTTAAAAAAAAAGCTTCTCCTAAAACAAAAGCAGCTCGTAAAAACTATTGAGAACAAATGACAGCCTCTTCCTCTTTGCTTACCCCAGGGAAGAAAATAGATTAAAGTGAATGAAAAGGAAATATAAGCTGAATACTTAAGAATATTGCAAAACTATGATTCCTTATCAGGAATACATGGCCATGGAGTGTTTCAGTGAAATATTCAGGCCTACATCCATTTGAAATCTATTTTAGAAATGAGGTAACTGAAGATCCTCAGGAGACCTCCAAGCATTCCGATAGGAGTTTTCACAATTTTATAATATTGCTCAGAATTCTTTTCCTCAACCATTTTTGGAAACCCTATTTTTATATCTACCTTAGAGGCAAAAATTATGCTGTGATACAGTAGTTTGAACTGTATCAGATTATGAATCCAAATGAAACATGACATGATTGCCTCAGCAAGCGCTGCAGCCACTGACAGACCAGATCAGACCATCCAGTGGGAGTATGGGAGGAAGCTGCAGTTCTTATATGACATAAGAAACTCGACAGGTTTGAGGGGAAGAACATGGTCTGGTATTTAAAGTGTGAAATTCTCATTCAAGTAGTTGAACAATGTAAAATGTGTTTGAAATCTGATTCACAAGCAAATCTAGGGCTTCCTGTTACTTGTAAATATACATTGGACAGGCTGTGAGACAGAAGAAATTGCTATCAAAATAAAAGAGTTATTTTAAAAAAAGGAACAACAAATCAAAAACAAAATCTTCACCTGAAATATGCTTGTGCATTTTGAAAGCAAAATCTAAACTTTGTGCCTCTGCACATATTTTTTTTTCTTGCATATATACCCAGAATAGTCAAGTTGCTATTGTAGCACAAATTTAAGAAACAAGACAGCTCTAGTGGGACTTTTCAATTTGCTCTTTACTGATCCTTAGATCTTTGCAATGTAAGGATCTGTTTTCTCTGAGATCACACTGTGTTCCACACACTCCCTCCCCATTCCACAGTATGGAAAGTACTGGCTAGTGAAATCTGTGGGAGCAGATTTCCTCATGCTTCAGGAGCTAGGATGTTTGATAAATCTGGGAAATTAAGGATGATAGTAACTTGTATTGCAGAAACAGCAACCTGTGAGTCAATGAGTTATGAAAGGTATGTCAGTGGGGAAAAAATTATGGAAAGGAGATCAAAAAAGTCAGAGTACACTGTATCAGGAATTGGGCTGTGTCAGGCTAACTCTAGAATGTTTCTTTGATGGTGGAGAGTGTATCTGACATGTTTTGTGTCTTGATTCAGTGATATTTTCCATTATCAGTTACACTTTATTCTGTGGAAACATATGAATATCAATTCTTTCATTGAACTTGTGAAAATTATCCTGCAAAACAAAGCTGTACTCTGGTTTTTCACAACATACACTGTCATTTGCTCTTGTAGTACTGAAAGACCAGATTAGTTTTACAGACTATTAGTAGTGCAAAGTATCTGTCTTATGTGTTATGTTTTCTTCAAGAAAAGGAATGTTACTTTTTAAAAAATGAAAACTTTGGCTAGGTGGAGAATAGAGCACAAAAAGTAAGAATAAATGAACTCTTTGCTCATAGTTTAAGTAGAATACATGTTTTCCAAAATCAGGTAGAACTTTTGTCTTAAGGGTTAGTGAAGCAGTGACCATGGCCAGCACTCCACAGATGGTGTAATCTAACCTCTTGCTGCAAGCACAGCACAAAAATGAATGTATTCACCCACAGGACCGGTGAGATTTAGTACCTGGATGAGATTGAACCATCCAAGTATGGAATATGAGCTATTCTGAGAATGTACCTCTGAGCTTCAGGGAGTTTGACATTCTCAAAATGTAGCAGACTGAAGATCTGACAGCACAAATTAAGAAAAAGCATTTTTAATTGTCATGATAGGATTTTCTTATTTCAGGGTTTAACTGGAGACATGCAGCACTACCTGTGATAAATGCTTTGGGGGTTTATTTATGTTTTGCTTATACATTGATTCTTTTCATTTTCATTTGAGTTCAATTTCACTCCATTGATCTGTGGTTTTATATATAGCCCTTTGTTAGAACTAGCCAGTGAGAACAGTTTTCACTAAATTTTTACTTAATTAAAATCAATAGAGAGAAGACATCCACAAGTGGCTGCCTTTTACATGTAGTTTAGTCTTTTTGGAAATACATGGATATCATCATGTAGGGGCAACCTAACTGTTCTAGATAAACTGAGATTTTATGGTGTTGTTCTAAGAATGACATAGAAATTGGGGAAATTACAGCCTATGGAACAAATAACAGTATCAAGAGCAAAAAGAATAACAGAGCACTTTTCTGGTCATCCTTTTTCTTTACTGAGAAATGTGATAATACGTGGCTTACAAAGATTAGAAAATGCGATTTGTAGAGTTTGGCATGGGAGATTTCTCTGATATTTTGCTGCTTAGGGACCAAATTCTGAAATAGTTGGCAAAAGACAAGTCTATCGATTTTAGACTTTGTCTAAGTGAAGTCAGGTAGGATGAATCCAGGACACTGTGTTGAACTACAGTAATTTATACAACACAGATAATTGAAGTTTGTGTGTGTGTGTGCATGTGTTTTCACAAATTAAAATGCATACACATATATATCCCACTAATCAAAAAAATGCATTTTTATCAGACCCAGCCTTGCTTCATGGCCAGCTTTGCATTAGGGTCAAAAGACAATGTCAATGTTAAATCAGCTGTCAATAACTCCCTCAGGGTAACACTGCCAAAGTTCAAGTCTGGTGCTAAGAGAGCACTCAGACTGGACTGAAGGTTAAGAAATTAAGGCAGCTGAGACGTATTTCAGCTTTTGAGCAGCAATTAATTTTGTGTTAACAGAATTAATACAGAGTTCTTTAGTTGAGCAGCCATTAGCACAAAGAAGGCTCAGTGAACTGAGATAGCAATTGCCTCCTATTAAAGTGACTGAGCTAATGAGCTGTTTAAGTACTTTTTCTTTGCAGATATTATCAGGGTCAAATATGTGCCTAGAAAGTATACATTAATTAGATCATACTGCTACCACTATAAAGTTGCACATAATTCTCACTCTTCCTTTATCAGCAAGAGCTTTAAAAATTCTTTCACTTTTACAAAAATTATTACAGAATGTTTTCTGAATCTCATTAGTGCTTTAATAAACGCACTACTTTGGATCAAATTCTCTGCTCGTGTAAAATGGTGTAATAAACTCAAGACAAAAGTCACAGAGTGTATTTTCTCATGAATATGAGAATTTCCTTACTTTATGTGTTCCCAGCAAACTGTGAGTGTATCTGTGTGGCTCTCACTGCACCCTGTGGTGTAAACAACTGATTTAACACTCAGGGGTTCTGTGATATACTTTCTGCTCTTCAGCTGCATGACCTGGCATGATCTGCTTCTGAGAACATCCCACACCTGCATTAAGAACGCCTCTTTTTTTTCAAGACAAATAACTCTTCTTTAAAATGTGACATAAAACATAGTGTCTATCACATAAATATCAGCTTTTTCTCACAGCTAACAGTGAAGATGGTAACTGAAAAGTTATGACTTCTACATAGAATAAGGAGCAGATGGGACCTATGAAAAAGTTGTGGAAAAAACATTTAATTGATACCTGCAGAACGTGTCTAAAAAGGACTGTTTCTTTAAGATGACATAAAGCATAAAACCAAAACTAAAATTCTGAATTAAAATCTGCATTTCACTACCTGTTATATTCTTTAGTGCTTTATCCATACTTCAAAGTGGAAGTCTTCAGACAGTGAATTGGATTCAACTAGTAAAAACCATTATAGCTTCACAGACAGCTTCACTGTTTTCCAGTGTAATAAGGGAATTAAAGAAAAGCTGTAGCTGCTAAACATCTGAGCCAGCTCTATCAGATTTTTCATAAGCCATCTGATTTATCTGAAGTTGAGGAGTCATCTGCAAGATAGATGGATGGTTCTTGATTTAAAATGTCATGTGTGGGAATTTGTGCAACATTCAACTAATTACTTACTCAGGCCTCTGCACTGAAGAAGTTTGTATTTGAAGATTTGATGGTTTATATAATTGTACAAAATATAAAATACAGTAAGTGCATACTAGAGGAATTATTCTGTGGAAATATTTGCCTTTCTGCCATGCAGCTGTAAGCATAATTTCTAACAGCAGGTGAACTGATGTAATGTGATTGATTGCAGGTTCCCTCAAGAGTTGAACATGGGGAAAATCAGTGCTGAAATCATGTGGACTCTGTTTGCCCAGGATATGAAATATGCTCTGGAAGGTAATTAGAACAAACTATTAGTTACTCTAGAGAGTTCACTAAGACTGATTTCCGCTGTGACACCTGGCATCAGATTTCTGCATGTGGTAAGAGCTTTCTGGAGTACTTGTTTTAGATGTTTCACAGATTAATGAAAAAGAAGTGTTGTAAAGGAAGGAAATCATTGCACTGTGAGTATATGAAGTCATCTATGGAAGAAGAAGACAAAAGAACTGTGACTTGAAATGCTATTTCTTATTACCTGCTTCTGACAAAAATCATAAGTGTCCAAAGAACCACAAATATCCTTGCTGGAGAGCATTTTCGACACTCCATATTTTCTTACTAGCTGAAAATTGGTAACCTGGCTGTAAGAAACATTTACAGAATGAAATTATGGAGAAAGCACACACTATAATTAAATCTTTTTGTGCTCAAAAGGAGGTTGTATTCATTCTAGTTCCAACAGAATCAAATGCAATTTCATTTTATCCCCTATGATATTACTGTGGTTAACCATTGCTAAAATATACATTTTTTTTCTACGTAGCAGATAGTCTTCAACTAATGACTTCAAACCTACTCATTAAAATATGGTTACTGCAGAAAACCAAGTAAAAATACCTGCATGAAACTACCATTGTCTTTAGTCAAGTCTGCTACTAATTACAGAGCAAGTCTGACAGGGTGAAAAAGAAGTATGAGGTTGGACTTAAAAAATAATGCAATTCAACAGACATAAAAGTTTAAACAAAATGAATACTTGAAGATCATTTCTATATTATTTTGTCCAGAATGGCTTTGATAGTGGTGCTTTGATGGTATGGTAGATTTTTATGATGACAAAGAAAAACAGAAAAAAGATGAATTACTAGAATGTTTCTTGATGGAAGAACTATTTTGTTCATCTGCTGTTATGTTAGTTTATTTTATGTTATTTGAATGTGGAACTTGCATACTAAACACAGCAGAGGAAAAAGACAGGAAGAAAGGAAGGAAGGTAATTATAATATGTAGAATGAAAACAGAAGATGAGAAATCTAAGACACAGGTAGGAGAAGAGATGTTCAAACTAATGTTTGAAAGTGATGTTATGTGGTCATGTCAGAGTGAACCAAAAGCACAAGTCTGAGAAAGCTGATGTCAGGCAGGAGATTATCCTTTGAGAGTGATCGATGAAGGTAAAAGCTTCCAAGAGCTGAGAAGCATGAAAACCAAATGAAAGCCACTGTTTTGGGTTAGAACATATTGCTGGTGGAACAACCTCCTATTTGGAGAACAACTACCAGAAAATTGCTGTTCAGCAACTCAGTGTTGGGGTTGAATTTACATACAGTTAGCACAGATAACTAAGAATTTCCAACAGCCACTACTTGCTTCATAACTTGTTTCATAACCTCGACTGTGTAGCTTTAGTCTGCACACAGACATCCCTGAGTGCCCCAACGCTCGTAGTGCTTTAGTCATTGAACTATAAACATTCTGTACTGCAACAAGATAATTCACAAAAGATAATTCACTCTACTTGCTAAGTAGAGCATGCTGATCACTCAAAGGTGTCTTCAGATCAAGCCACGGTTTGTTTCTTGATTGTAAAGAATAGAACAGGAAGCTCTTGAGGAAGAGTTAATTATACAATATATGAAGTGTGGGTGGTAAGGCTGAATCAGGACTTTAAAACAAATATTAATGTTAACGTTAATCCTAATTCTGCAAAGAGTGATATAGAGGATTCATTAGAAGGCACTTGACTCTTTCTGTCTATTCCAAACCTGTCCCCGAATATGGTCTCATCTCTGCGTTGCTGTGGATACTGTCTTTCTGAGTAGAGTAAATGCCCTTCTTGTCATTAGATATTCTAAATAATTCCCAGAATCAATAGTGAAAAAGTTGCTGTGTATAAATAATAATTAATGAAAATTGAAATTAGTATAAAATATTATAAATATACACAATTTTACTCTCAATCCTAAACAAGAACCTCAGTAAATCTAGTCATAAAATATAGATTAGCATTCTGTTTCTCTTTCCAGCTCTACTGGTTTTTAAATCATTGATTCTTCCCATAGATATTCTAGAAACTGAGTTTAACTCAGTTGTTAATGGCAATAAAACTTTTTGCTTTGCATTCTATAAGATTAGAAGCAAGTCCTTGAATATGGCCACACTTGATTCTCCTGGTTTTAATGGAGTTCATTAAAATGCATTCCATTCTGCTCTGCCACTCTCGCCTTCCAAGTTATTAACATAGGCTACCATCTGTTCATACGTAGTGTCCAGGGCTGTGATTGCAATCTTTCCCTGATCCAATTTAGTATTAATCTCCTGAAGCAGCATATTTTGTGTTACAAAGTTGATTCCTTTCTGCATCCAATCAAGAAGCAATGAACTAGTCCAACATTGTTTGCAAAAGGATTGCTCCTGTGATAAAAAAGATTAAATTAGCTCATCCAAGATACTGCTTCTGGTTTTACCCACCTAATGCATTCCCAAATATGCCCAGCCACACCCATCACCTTAATTTCAGAAAATAAACGTGTCATATCTCCATTCTCTAACAGAAGACCAATACTGGAGCATCCCCTTTACATTCCTTTTCCCCAAGTGTTCAGAATGGCTGTTCAGCCCCTCCCTGTGGAGCTGGATGCCTCCTGTATCTTCCCAGGGGATGTGTGGAGCTGCAGCTGCTGCTGGGCAGTGTTGCTGCTCTCCAGCAGTGCTGTAACCTCCTCTGCAGTAGGACCCAGCAGCCCTGTGAGCCCGACACCAGCAGCATCACACCCTGCTGCCTTCTCTTCTCCCTTGATCCTTGCCCAGGACAGTCCAGCTGGGAGGTTGCTGCTGTGACATGGAGAATGCAGAGGGGACAGCAGCTTCCACAGCAGTGGCTTTTGCTAGAGAAGAGCAAAGCAGCTGTGTGTCTCTGTGAATAGCCAGGAAGAACACTGGCATGTGGCAGGCTGCTGTCACTCTTGGTGAGGGAGGAAAGGACATCACAAAGCACAGTTCTCCACAGCTGCTGAGATCAGGGCTACACTGTGCCAAGCTGACATGCCTTGGAAACAAAACTGTACTAAATTCTGATATCAAGTTAATAATTTCATTCTGGATTTTCTTCCAATTTAAGTTAATAAAAATGTTTAACCTTTGCATAGTGTTAAAAGTTTTAGGCAAACTGTAACAGAGTTCACACCAGTTCTGATTTTTTTTCTGACCTAAGGAGCTTGGGATTATTCTCATGTATAGATTTTGCATGGAGAAGGTATCACAGGCTTCTCTTTGAGAACTGACTTCATTAGATTTGGTCCCTTTGAGGTTTTTTTTCTTCTTTACAGGTTATTCATGAAGCATCAGTGATTTGCATGACAGATTATACACTGTTGTTTGGCATTCAGTTTACACAAGCATATCTGATCTTATAGGATGGTATTGTTTTTGTATGGTCCAAACCCCCAATTATTCTGCATTTATGCTACAAAGAAATAAGAACAGAGAGAGAATTTCACCAGTAGTGCAAGTGATTTGTTACTGACTTCATATGGCAGCAAATCTTTTCCTTTACAAGTATGAAGATGCAAAGGATAAAAGATGATGAGAGAGTAATGAGCTGAAATTAGACACACAGTTGCAAAGTATCTTTTTTATTCTTTGTGCTCAGAAATGTTATTTTCAGATCTTTCCAATGTCCAACTTTTGAATAGGTCAGGTCAAGTGTCTGAAGCTACCCAGTCTGTTGGAAGGAGAACATCCTAATTGCTGTTATTATGATAATCTAATTCCAGTAGTAGCCAGAAGTCAAGAGTAGAATCCAGCCAGAAATTAATTAGCTGCTGTGTAAATACAGCAATAGACAGTCTCAGTCCTGCAGAGCTGAGATTCTGAAGGCCTTATAAAAATAGAAGAGGAACAAGAAAGTCATTCCTCCATTTTATTCATTTAACATAGGTTTGCTTTTCAAGTTTGCTGTTGTCCCCAGTGCATAAGCAGACACCATTTTCCGGTTTCTCTGGCAGATACTTCTTTCACTACAAAAACTGATAAAATGATTTGACAGAGAAGAGGCAAGTCTGTGAGATGATGTTGAGTACAGAGACAGCATAGAAAAAAACCAAAAAGGCTGATGCTGCCCAGAGAAAGGTCACGCCATTTGGTGGCAGATTTCATGTCTATTTTCTCTCCAAATTTACAAAGTTCCCCTTTGTGAATAGCATTTAGCCTTGGCTTAGAGGGAGGCTGCAGAGTAGATTTGGGGAGGTGAGGCTGAGATTTTGGAAAGGACAGGAAGGCAACATTCACCAGAATGCAGGGTTTCATTGCTATCGAAATATGAAACCTTTTTCATTTAGTCACTCATCTCTGCACTGGCACACTTGAACAAATGTATTCCATCCTAGCTTTTTCAGAGACCTGAGGAATATGTAGTGTCATGGCAATTCAGAGTCTGTAAAGGCAAAGGCAAGGGGATTAAAATTGGAGTTAAACTTTCCTTTGGCAGACAATAAGATAAAATGTTGACACAGTTGGAGGAAGAGGGGAGTTAAAAGTTTCTTTGGTCAGCATAACAGCCAACGATGTTAACAGCAGCAGCTGCACACTGCACATGCTGGGGACCTGAGCTTTGCCAGTATAAGAATCCACACCTATCATGTGCAACACGGGGATCTCCAGGCTTGCCTATAAAGCACTGTAACCGTACCAAATGGCACTATTTTGTTGGAGTTAATTAGACCCAGTAATTAAGACAGATGAAGTGGATAGAACTGTTCCCAGGGGCTAAGTTAATACTTCTTCGTGGCACCGTATTGTGCTGTAGCAACGTGTCATCTTTACTTGGAACTACCTCAGTGATCTCTAGTATGGCACAACCTTGCACTTGGGGAGGAGCCCACTATATCTGTCATTTCCTTGTTCTCTAACCCATTTTCTTGGATTTTACATATTGAACCATAGCCAGAACAGTGAGTACTACTGCGTTACAAGTCTACAGTAATCTTAGAGTTAAAGCTTCTTTATGTCTGACT